TAGACTGTGTTGGGTCTTCTCCGTCGGGTCTCCGGGATCGAGTCGGATCCTGAATCGGATAATGGATCTTGTTGGGAAGTGACCGGCAAGAGAGACTCAGAGCTCGCCATTTCTGTTCTGTTTTGGTTTCTTTAGATTTGATGGTTGTTGTTAAAGAAATATGGCAAAGTCCAATTTATATATCGGAAATTTAGCTCAGAAGGAATAAAAAAACACAAATCTCAAAATAAAAAATTATTAAATCAGACAGGTGGGGAGTTTAGATAGAGAACTGGATTGGGTTGGCAATTTGGAGCTGTAATTTTTATATATCTAAGATTCATATTGACAGACTACAAGTCAATTCTTTTTTGAGTTTTTTCAATAATTACTTAGTAATATTTATACTCCTTTTCTTTTTTCCCTATCACTTCATATACCCTACAATGTTTTTGATCCTTACCCATTCCAGTAATTATATTGTTTTAAAATTCTTCACACAAATAAAGAAAAATATTTATATATAAGTTTACTATATATATTTAACAAAACTTAAATAAATAAAAATAGATATATAGTTCCAAATGATACATTATCTTTGTAACAAGATATAACATGTTACTTATTATCTCATTTAAAATATAATTTACCTTTAACTTTCTAGTTAATATGATAACAATACTATATATGTTATGCAATGAATTGTGCTTACACAACAAACAATATAATACATTTCTAAACTAACATAATATGTTGAGTTTATAATGTGTTAAATTATGTAACACATCAACATCAACCTACTACAATTTTTTTTTTTTATTACCAATGCTGGTCATAGTAGTCAAAAAGAAGTGTACCCCCCCCCGTATTTTAATCTATTAATTCACCCACGTTTTACTTGGTGTCTATCAAAGGGCCAACCTAATTTATATGTCTTGATTAGTAGTCCTTTTCAATTAAATACATATTGATTATTATTTTTGAAATTTTGTCCATGTCACGCCCCTGAGTGTTGCACTTGGACCACTAGAGCTCGTTTATTACACTCCGTAAACTATCAAAGACTTGTTTTGGTTGATATTGTTAATACATGTGGATAACGGTTGAATCATTGATATCTGCTAAAGTTAGTTACTAAAGCCATGTAGTATCTCTCTTTTTGTGTAGTTTCCCTCTTTTCGTTTCTCTTTATAAAATAATCTAGAATCATACTTATTACTTAGATAAAAAACAAAGGGCACGAGGAACGCGAGCGAAGGACGGGCCAACCACTAATTTGAAGCTAGACGTTTTTCTTGGGAACATATCAAATATTTAAGTAGAAGAAAGTTTACAAGTTTTTCTTAGGGAAGTAGGAACATGTTTACAGCAAGATCTCAGATCTATTCTTTCTCCAGCAGAAAACGGTGATGCGATTAACATGAATAATAATACGAAACACGTCTGCATATATAGATGTATCGTAATGTACATCAGACAAATGTGTTTGGTCAGGCCACGTGAAATTTTTCGTTTTTCTATATCACATATATGAATAAAATCTTATCACGATCGTTGTTTGATATAAATACTCTCATCACGATCGTGTCACATACCTGTACCCAACAATGATGAAGATAAATGATTGACTCGAACGGGTTTTAGTCTTAAAATACATTTGGAGGAAATTTTTTAATTTAACGTTGATTTGAAGTCGATTGAACAAATAGAGCAATAAAAGTTATCATGATCAATATGCTAGAAACTGTCATTGAACATCTTTATAGGCTATAATCTTATTTGCTAAAATTTGTTAGAAATTGGCATCATATATGTCCATTGACCAAAACAGTTTTCAAAATGTTTGATGGAAAAAACCGGAATTTACATAGCCTAGCTGCAGCTCTAGGTCCAACACAAAAATTTGATTTGATTTTTTCATCTAACTATTTTCAGATCTAACTATTTGATTTGATCTGTTTGTGTTTTCTCTGGAATTATGTATGAGTAGTTTATAATTAGTTTTTATGTTTTTTAAAAAATTGATAAAGAATTATCTGTTGGCTTCTACATCTAAAATTGTATTCAATTAAAATAGAAGACAAGATCTCAAATAATAATACGACAAGATCTAATAATTTTTGGACGTGGAAAGACAGAGCCCATTCGGTCTCTCACAGAAAAAGACGTTCTCTTGCTCCATCTAAAATATACAACAATCTATTACTATTATGTTTGTCTCCAACTTCTGAAAATGATCCAAGTATTATCCAAAATAAGAAGATGTTATCGCTGACTTCTGTTTTGTTTCAGCAATCAAGATGAAAAAAATTAATTTTCCACTGAAAACAGAGTCATTGCTTGTTATGGTAGGCTAGATTAATTTTTTACTTAGGATTAACTTCATGAATTAATTTTTTACATAGGATTATATATCCAGAGTTAAAGCCTTTTTGCATTTTTACTTAGGATTAAACAGTGTTGGCATGGTCCTTATAAGACAAGTTGAACGTTATTCTTTCCATTTTAGTGACGGATCCTTAATCACCCACATATAATAGTAAATAAATACATACTTTCTCTAAATTCTGATTGCTTTGGATCGGAATGTACAGCTCGACATCCTATTTAAAAATTGTAATGCAAAAGTACAAGCACGATTGCAAGACAAAACATCAATTATTATTATTAACATGATACTCTTTTTGTTTCTTTCCGTTTCAGAAAAAGTTAGTGTATATCAAATGATTCTGATTTCCAGCATATACTATATCGTTATAGTTAATCCTGTTCGGAAACCTAATTATGATTTGTAAATGTAAAAAAAATACACAGATTAAGCATACAGGCTCCATTAACCCAACTAATTAATCTGATTTTCTGTTGACAATAGCCAACTAACTCAAGACAATTGTGTTTTTTTTTTTTTTTTTTTTTTTTTTTTTTTCTGATGATGAACAACTATTAAAGTGTATCATGGCATTTTGATCATTGGTGATTCACACGATACTAACTAATTAACTAAATCCAAGATCTGTTTTCATTTTATGATCTAAGAGATATCAATATCTCACAGTTTCAGACTTTTATACTTTGCCATATACAATTATTGGGCATTAAATGCCAATGAAGCTTGGTAGAATCGTGACCTAAGCTGACATGGATCTGACTCAGACGAACACGTTTATTTTCATCCTTTCTTGTCTTCATGTTATCTGTCATTTGGTACACACCGAAGAACAACTTCTATTTTTTTTCTTTAAATTATTGTTTATATATTTTACGGTTTTAATTGACAACTAGTGAAATTAATTTATACTATAGTTTAGAGTTTTCTCCAGAAACTGAGTGCTCATACCTCATAGACTTAAAATAACTCTATGATTAGAAAAACGTAAGGAACTAATGATGCGCCACATATAACAATTTTTTATACGCCATCAGAACATGCACATGGATTAGATAAACGTAATGATGCAGTAAATACTCTTTATTTGAAAAATTAATACAGATTGTAGTCTTCGTGTCCAGTTGTGGAAACCTTTAGCCTAGTGGTTAAAGGGATTTAATACTTCTACATAGGTATGAGTTTCGAATCGCGGCGGATGCGATTTCCTAATAATTTATACAAATTATTGGAGACAAGCTTACATGAGGTCTACAGAATGGTGCACATGGAGCCGTCGGCCAGGGAGCCTTTGAAGATTATTGAATTGTCTTGTAACAGTTCTCATATTTGTATATTAGATTAGTCAATCTAGTGTTAAAAAAAAAATCTTTGTGTCCATTGTCAATTCCCTAAGATCCTCTATGTGCCTAAGTGTCATGCTTTTATTGCATATACATAATAGCTAAAAAATTATCACATAGAAAGAAAAAAAAAACATCTTATATGTGGTAATACAAAAACTAAGAATAAATTATAATATTTTATATGTAGATGTAATTTTTGTTCTTCTGCCCTTCGTAATTTGTGTGTGAAGGAAGCGACCAGATCAAGCACTTGTTTTCTTCGCTGATAATTGTCGTCTCTTATTACGCCTGACGGAAGCTCCTTCAGATATCTTTGTTTTCGTTGGTTCTTCTTACAAAAAGATGTGTTTGAGCTTTAAACGAATTCATAATAGATACTTCAGCCAAGAAGTTTAGATACACCAAAATTGCTGGTAGTAGTAAACACAGACCTGTTTCAAATTGCTGGTAATAAAGTCAAACCTTTTTCAATTCGCTGCTACGAAAAAAATATCTAAATACGGATGATATTATCTTTTTTTTTTTTTTTGATAACCCAGGTGTCCGGTTCACAAGGGGTCTTGGACACGAGCCATATAGCTCTCCCCGAAGGGGTCCTGGACGCCACAGATGGGTGACGACTAGCGCTGTATCCAAGGAAACTGGCGTGATCCTGGGGGCCCGGAGGGACCATGTGAAAACTCCGGTGGCCAAGGGGAATCGAACCGTGGGCACCATATTGGGATTACCCCCTCAAGTACCACTGGCCCAACCCACCTTGATAAACCTTCAAAATATGTAACCCTAATTTCAGTTATTGATATATATTATCTAGCTTGAAAGTTTAATAAAAAAACATTTTCTCTTTCAAGTGTTACTTCTGCACCACAGTTAATTCATTGTATACGTAGTTTTGATCTATTAGCTTGATATCGTCTGATCCATTTCAGACTCTGAGTTTTTACTTTTTAGGTTTCACATTTCGGTTTGGACGATCACATATAGCATCGAATGTATCTTTCTTTTTAGGACAATTACGTTGAAATGAAGAATTTGTAGTCGAGAGAAGAAGATTAATAAAGACACATTATTATCACGTACACATTATTATTTGTTTAGACGATAGGATACAGAAGGCATATACAATCAAGGATCGACAACCTTCTAGGACACATACATAAGCCATCAACAAACTTATTCAGATACTGGCATTTTTTTCACATACACAAATTAAACACAACAATTATTGAAAATAGGGCAAACAACACTTAGGTACCTCCGTACGTGATATCATCTTTGGATATGCTTGTTTAGGCACTTGTAACCGCTACAAGAGAGCTCTTGTGGCATATAATAGAGCATGCCTTGGTGCATTGCTTAACCGCTCCATTCACAATTTCCTTTGCGTCTACTCACCGAAACAAAACTCAGATAGATCAATTTTTTTTGTGTCATACTAGTAATTAAAACTTAACAAAAGTGATTATAGTGAGTGAGCCTGGGGAAGTTTGCTTTAATTACCAGTGTTCTGGAGAGTGTTCATGGCACCGCACACAGATAATCCACACCCTAACTTGCAGTAATCACTGACAGCATCACTTTGACCTAGAATAAACCAATAACAAAAGAAACTTGCATCAAAGCTGAAATCTCATCCATCTTGTGACAGGTAAAATAATTATAAAACACAATTAATATACTATAATAGCGAGTTCAATTTACCAGACTTCTTTAGAATGCCATTAGGATATCCTGGAGGGCAAGTACCATCTCCCTTAGCAGGCATGCATCCACTCAATGGTAGACAAGGTATAAATTGGCTTGGCGCGAAAGAACATGCTTCATATGTAGCTCTGGCACTCAGGCTCGGGCAACATATGTTTGCTGCTTCGATTTGGATTTGCGCCATGAAGAGAGTCATCATGAGCACACTCAGAATCACAGTTTTGCCTTCCATATTTTGGTTGGTTCTTGTTTGACCACAAAATATTACGTAAGGAAACACTTATATCTTATTAAGGTTTGTATCGATGAAATGGTGATGACACTAGACAGTCTAGACTTGGTTAAATACTAGTTGTTCTACGTACAATTTCAAACCGAAAATTATCATTTTTAGAATGCTCTAGAGTCTGCACATAGGCATCCTCATGCTTCACGACCACCTTGTCTCTTCAAACTATTGCACCTAACAAATCCGAGCAATCTTTCAAATTCAATGAATGGGTCCTTTGTTTTCCTCTTTCTCTTTTTCTTCTCGAGAAACTGTATCACTCATCTTAGTAATCAATCTGTTTGTTAAATTCAATATATCTATTGTATGTTCGTAGTAACCGTTTATCAAGTTGCAACACTTTGGATACTGAATTTACGCCATGGCGAGAGAAACTATGAGCAGACTTAAAATCACAGCTTTGCCTTCCATCTTTTTCTTGATTCTTGTTAATTTGATCAAGAAATTTTACGTAGAGTAACCACTTAATATTAAGCTTTGTATCGATGAAATGGTGATGAAACTAGACTTACTTTAATACTAATTGTTCTACAATTTCAAACAGAAAGTTTTACTTTTTTTTAGAATGCTCTAGCGTCTACACATAGGCAACCACATGCTTCACGACCACCTTGCCTCTTCAAACTATTGCAACTAACAAATCCGAGCAATCATTCAAATTAAATGATTGCTCATTATTGTCGATACAAATTATGGTTAAAATTGTATTTAACCCATATTACTTGTTATTGTCAGTTTTAGCAACACTGCTGTCATAAGTCGCATATGCTGTCATGATGTGAGGCTAAGCTGCTTATAAAATGATTACGTTAAAAGGAAGAATTTGTAGCAGAGAAAGGAAGATAAATAAAGTAACATTTAGATGATAGGATATAGAAGGTACATACAATCTGTCATCTGTGGATCGACAACCTTCAACGACACATACGTAAACCAGCAACACAATTATTCAAACACTAACACTAGAGTATAGCTAGTATTTTTGTCACATACACGGCATTATTGTAAACAGGGAAAACATCACTTATTATTTTTGGATATGCTTGTTCAGGCCCTTTTAGCTGCTGCAAGAGAGCCCTTGTTGCATATAGTAGAACACGCCTTGGTGCATTGTTCAACTGCCCCATTCACAATTTCAATTGCGTCTAGTCACCAAAACAAAACTCAAACAGATTAATGTTCTTGTCATATATATTATTTTAACAAAACTGCTACTAGTGATTAGTGAGCTTGGGAAGTTTGCTTTAATTACCGGAGTTCTGAAGAGTGGTCAAGGCACCGCACGCAGAGAATGCACACGCCAACTTGCAGTATTCATTGACAGCATCACCTTGCCCTAAGAAAAAGAAAAAAAAAACTTGCATCAAAAATATAATCTCCATAGATCAACGGATCTTGTAACAACTAAAACAATAAAACACAAATAATACATAGACAAAAATAGTGAGTTCAATGTACCTGATTTTTTTAGAATGTCATTAGGATATCCCGGAGGGCAACTATTTTCAGAACCATATGTGCATCCACTCAGTACTACACAACTTGGCGTCCGAAATCCAGAATAAGTACATACATTAAAGGCATTTCTTGTAGCCTCGGTAGGGCAGCAGATCTTTGCTGCTTCGACTTGTATTTGTGCCATGACGAGAGTCATTATGACCACACTTAGAGTCACAGTTTTGCCTTCCATATTTTCCTTGCTTGATCACAAAATTTTACCTGGAGGAAACACTTATTATTAAGCTTTGTTTGTATCGATGAAATGGTGATGAAACAACACTTACTTAAATAGTAGTTGTTCTACGTAAAATTTCAAACCGAAAGTTTCACTTGTAGAATTATCTAGAGCCTACACACAAGCAACACCTATGCTTCATGACCACCTTGTCCTCGAACTATTGGACCTAACAAATCCGAGCATGCAATTAATTAATGTTACAAATAAATGAACTGGTGAATTCATCAATTAACTCTTTCGATCATCGGGAATATGTATATTAGACTGATCTAAAGCCTACACAGAGGCATCCACATGCTTCAGGACCAGACCTTGCACCTAACAACTCCGAGCAAACTTTCAAACTAAATGAATGAGTGCTTTCTATAAAGAATTCCTTTGTTTTCCTCTTTCTTCGAGAAACTGTATCACTCATGAGAGCTCAGCCCTTGTTGCATAAAGTAGAACACACCTTGGTGCACTGCTCAACCACTCCATTGACAATTTCATTCGCGTCTATTGCTTGATTCTTGTTTCTTGTTTGATCACAAAATGTGAAGTACATGATACACTTATTATTTATAACCTCTGAAAAAAGTGTATCATTTTTTTGGATGTTATAAATATATTTGGTTGAATGAGTTATTTTTATAATATCAAATTTTGATCATAAAATTGTTTGAATTAGTTAATTACTTGATTTTATAAAATATATTTATAACCTCCAAAGCGAAACACTTATTTTTCCGTTCATCTGAATGGAAGAATACAAATCCGACTGTCTTTACTAAAAATATATATGGTTAAAATTGAGGTCCAATATATATGGTTAAAATTGTATTTAACCCAGATTACTTGTTATGGCCGGTTATACTAACACTGCTTCTAAGTCGCATATTCTGTGAGCTGCTTATAAGATAATTACGGTGAATGGGAGAATTTGTAGTCGAGAGAAGAAGATAAATAAAGTAACATTTAGATGATAGGATTTAGAAGGCACATATACAATCTGAGGATCAACAACCTTCAACGACACATACATAAACCAGCAACACATTTATTCAAACACCAGCCCTAGAGTCTAGCTATTTTTGTCACATGCACGACATTATTGTAAACAGGGAAAACAACACTTCTTATTTTTGGATATGCTTGTTTAGGCCCTTTTAGCTGCTGCAAGAGAGCCCTTGTTGCATATAGTAGAACACGCCTTGGTGCATTGTTCAACTGCTCCATTCACAATTTCACTTGCGTCTAGTCACGGAAACAAAACTCAAACAGATTAATGTTCTTGTTATTTTAACAAAAATGCTAACAGTGATTAGTGAGCTTGGAAAGTTTGCTTTAATTACCGGAGTTCTGAAGAGTGGTCAAGGCGCCGCACACAGAGAATGCACACCCCAACTTGCAGTATTCATTGACAGCATTACCTTGCCCTAAGGAAAAAAAAAATTGCATCAAAAATATAATCTCCATAGAACGGATCTTGTAACAACATAAAATAATAAAACACAAATAATACATAGACAAAAATAGTAAGTTCAATTTTACCAGATTTTGTTAGCATGCCATAAGGATATCCCGGAGGGCAGCTAGTTCCAGAAGCATATGTGCATCCACTAATTGTTACACAACTTGTCATCGGATATCCAGGATAAGCACATCCTTGAAAGACAGTTCTTGCGGCCACGGTAGGGCAGCAGACCTCTTTTGCTTCTACTTGAATCTGTACCATGACGAGAGTCATTATGACCACACTTAGAGTCACAGTTTTGCCTTCCATCTTTTCCTTACTTGATCACAAAATTTTACCTGGAGGAAACACTTTTTGTTAAGCTTTGTTTGTATCGATGAAATGGTGATGAAACAACACTTACTTAAATAGTAGTTGTTCTACGTAAAATTTCAAACCGAGAGTTTCATTTTTAGAATTATCTAGAGTCTACACATTGGCAACCACATGCTTCACGACCACTTTGTCTCTTCAAACTATTGCAACTAACAAAGAATTAAATGAATTAAACTATTGCAAAACCATAATGAGTCTACACACAAGCAACACCTATGCTTCATGAGCACCTTGTCCTCGACCTATTGGACCTAACAAATCCGAGCATGCAATTAATTAATCTTACAAATTAAATGAACTGGTGAATTCATCAATTTTCCTCTTTCGATCATCGGGAATCTGTATATTAGACTGATCTAAAGCCTACACATAGGCATCCACATGCTTCACGACCAGACCTTGCACCTAACAACTCCGAGCAAACTAACACACCTTGGTGCACTGCTCAACTACTCCATTGACACTTTCATTTGCGTCTATTGCTTGATTCTTGTTTCTTGTTTGATCACAAAATTTGAAGTACATGATACACTTATTATTTATAACCTCCGAAAAAAGTGTATCATTTTTTTGGATGTTATAAATCATTTGGTTGAATAAGTTATTTTTATAAAATCAAAGTTTGATCATAAAATTGTTTGAATTAGTTATTTTTATAAAATATATTTATAACCTCCAAAGCGAAACACTTATTTTTCCGTTTATCTGAATGGAAGAATACAAATCCGACTGTCTTTACTTCAAATATCTGGAGGTCCAACATACTATATATGGTGAAAATTGTATTTAACCCAGATTACTTGTTATGGCCGGTTTTACTAACACTGCTGCTAAGTCGCATATTCTGTGAGCTGCTTATAAGATAATTACGGTGAAAGGGAGAAGAAGATAAATAAAGTCACATTCAGATGACAGGATAGATAGAAGGAACATACAATGGAGGATCGACAACCTTCTACGACACATACATAACCAGCAACACATTTATTCAAATACATTTATATTAAAAAAAAACATTTATTCAAATACTAGCACTAGAGTCTAGTATTTTTTGTCACATACGGGACAAAACTGAAAAAAAAGGGAAAACAACACTTAGGTACGTGATATCTTTTTTAGGGTATGCTTGTTTAGGCACTTTTAGCTGCTGCAAGAGAGCCCTTGTTGCATATAGTAGAACACGCCTTGGTGCATTGTTCAACCGCGTCACTCACAATTTCACTTGCGTCTACTCACCGAAACAAAACTCAAACAGATTAATTCTCTTTTCATATATATTATTATAACAAAAATGATAATAGTGATTACTGAGCTTGGGAAGTTTGCTTTAATTACCGGAGTTCTGAAGAGTGGTCAAGGCACCGCACACAGAGAATCCACACCCCAACTTGCAGTATTCATTGACAGCATCACCTTGAGCTAAGAAAAAAAAAAAAAAAACTGAAATCTCCATCGATCTTGTGACATTAATATACTATAATGGCGAGTTCAATTTACCAGTTTTTTTTAGAATGTCATAAGGATATCCTGGAGGGCAAGTATCTCCAGAAGCTACTCTACATCCAGTAAAAGGCAAACACTGACTCCAAGATGATCTTTCCTTACATTTCTCATACAAATATCTGGCGTTCTCCCTCGGGCAGCAGACCTTTGGTTCCTCTCCTTGTCCTTGAATTTGCGCCATGAGGAGAATCACCATGACCACACTTAAAATCATAGTTTTGCCTTCCATTGTTGCTCGACTCTTGTTTGATCACAAAATTTTACGTAAGAGGAAACACTTATTATTAAGCTTTGTATTGATGAAATGGCGATGAATCTAGACTTACTTATATACTAGTTGTTCTACGTACAATATATCAAACCCTAATTTTTATATTTAGAATGCTCTAGAGTCTACATACTGGCAACCACATGCTTCACGAAATTTTTTGCAAACTTTCAAACTAAAAAAAACGTGTTCTTGCTATAAAGAATTCATTTGTTTTCCCTCTTTCTTCGAAAAACTGCACGACTGTATCACTCATGTTAATAGTTAATCTGTATTCACATTCAATTTTTGTTTTGATCGAGATATATATTTGTATGTTGGTATTAACCGTATATTTTTTTATATATAAAATCTAAACACATGCAACCACATGCTTCACGAAAATTTTGTCTCTTCAAATTATATATTGAACTTAACAAATCGGAGAAAACTTTGAAACTAAAAAAAACGTGTCCTTACTATAAAGTATTTATTTGTTTTCCCTCTTCTTCGAAAAACTGCACGACTGTATCACTCTTGTTAATAGTTAATCTGCATTGTCAAGTTCACAATCAATTTTTGGTTTGATCGATATATATAATAATATTTGTATGTTCGTAATAACCGTATATTTATTATATAGAATCTACACACATGAAACCACATGCTTCACGATAATTTTGTCTCTTCAGATTATTGCACCTATGACCTATGACCTATGACCTATAATCCGAGAAAACTTTCAAACCTAAAAAAAAAAAAAACGTGTCTTTTCTATAAAGAATTCATTTCTCAGTTTTTTAAAAAAAAAACCATCCAAGGTCTTCCTAAACTACTACGAATCCTTCCTAAGAGAAGAGCTTAAAGCTCAGATCAACAATCGTCAATATCAAAGAACAATGATCTATTCATAATAGAAACAATTAAAAAAAATGTTAACATGAATCTCTCTTAAATCAGTTCCCAAAGAGCAATTTCAAAACATGAATCTTTCTTTTCTACTGTTTGGCACTATACATTATATTCTAGTCATATGATCCACATTTCTCTTATGATGTGTATCCTCTTAGATATTATGTCTCCAGGAAAAAGTCGGAATTGCGACTTTTACTAATAGGGTTCAAGTAAATGCAGGTTTCGGCCAAACGCCACAGAGTTCGTGTGTGGAAAGTCAGATGTGTGGTTGTATGGGTACGTATTGGCACACAAAAGTTGCTCAAGTACTAAAGTACTAATTAGCACATCTACCAATAGTTGGGGCAGGAAATGTTTGTTTTCTGTTCGTGTGACACTAAGATTGACAGCCCTAAGTGCTTTCAAATTTTCGAATTTAAAGTGCTACTAGAATAATTCCCGCATTATAAGAAGATGAAATAATTTTGAAGTAAAATTAAATTAATCTAATAATTATTTTTGGTAAGTATAGAAAAATATAAATATGTTTGGTTCTAGGACTTAGAATATTCAAAATAGGTAACAATAAAAATAGATGTGTTTGGCAACTGGTGTAAAAAAAAAAAAAAAAAAAAAAAAGGTTGAGAAAATTTGTGATAGTGATACATCAGCACAACGGCCCTAAGCTTCAAGCTCTTCCAAAACTCACCATCGTCATGTCTCACCACATTCCATGTTCGTCGAAACTACTTCACTGTACTGCTATGTTGTCATCATCCTTCAAGATTGAAGTTGCTAAAACCCCTTCATCTTGAGGGGGCAAGTAAAGGGAAAGAGTATCATTTCAATTATTTATCCAATCGGTACTTTATGCACATGGGAAAGTGAACTTTTCTCTCTCCTCTCTCTGGGCGATTGAAAAAGCGATCTAGGTTTTCTTTCCCGGATCGCGACCGCCGCTATGGCCTCACGCCGCCGGTGAGAATTTCCCGATGACAAAGAAGAAAAAGAAACCCCCCTTCGCTTCTCATCTGGTTCCTCGCTACGCTCCTCGTTCGATGGTCGCTTCTGCTTCAGGGAAGCTTCTCGAAAGATGTTTGTTCCGAGCCAGATCTGCACATTCAGCAAGGAAAAGCTCCGCCTCTTGCCCCCCGGTGAGTCAATCGTCTCTCCCTGGCCTCTCCCAGGTGATTCCTCCGATTCCTTCGCCGGCGCAGTCTCTCCCCGGATCTGGATCCAGATCTCAGGAACTGTGTTTATCTCCAACCTCTCAGAGCTCCCCGAGCCCTGCTACTGTTGCCTCCCCTGCTCCTTCAGCTACGGGTTCAGGCAGCTCTCCGTCTCGGGCCCCTCCGGTCCCGAACAAACCAATTTCTCCCACGGCGCCTCCCTCCACAGGGAAGAAGTGGTCGAGTCTCTTTCCTGCTACTGCTGCTCTGAAGAGCTATGGACCACCCGAGACACACATCTCCGGAGTCCCCTTCATCCTTATTCCGGATGAAAATGTTGGAAAGGCAAAGGAGGAGTTCAAGGACTTCATCTACGCCTCCTTCCCGGGTCACCCACCAGAGATGGGTAGGATCATTGGAGTCATAAACGCAATTTGGGCACGGACTGGGCCCCGGATTTATGTGCATAGGATTGGCCCTGGGTGTTTTCTCATCAAAGTCTCGAATCCACGAACTAGGGCGATCTTGCTCAGTCGTAACCTCTGGAACATTACTGGTCATCCGATGTGCGTTGCGCCGTGGAGCCCAGACTTCACTCCAGAACAACCTCCGCTCACCAAAGCTCAAGTCATGGTTGAATTCCGAGGTATCCCTTACCTCTTGTTCAATGATGATAGCCTGGCTCGGATAGCTTCAGGAGTTGGGGAGCCGAAAGCTCTATCTCCCGAGACAGCTCGTAAAGATACGTTTGAAGTGGCAAAAATTGTTGTCGAAGTTGACCTGTTTCGTGAGCTGCCCACAACGCTTGTGTCTGGACTTAGCAGTGGGAAGGAATTTGTCGTCTCGGTGACGTATCCGTGGTTGCCACCGCGGTGTGGAGACTGCAGTGCTTTTGGCCATACATACTCGCATTGCCCGAAGAGGCCACCACCTACCCGAGAAAGGAGGAAGCCACAGTCTCGTTCCCGATCACGATCGCGATCGCGTAACAAGTCCAGCGCCGGGGCCAAGGAAGGGCGTCGTTCCCGACCTGGGAGGTCAATGGCTACTCGGTGGGAGAAGAAGTCAACCGAACCCACGCCTGAGACAGTCATGAATGATGAGGGAGTTCAGGTCTCGGATGAGAGTGATCCGAAGCCAAAACCGGGCCTATCAGAGGAAGAGGGTATGTTCAAACACGACCCGCCTACGGGAGTTTCTATGGCTCTAGCTGAAGTTTTCAGAGAGAACCCTTTCTTCTTGGTTGAGCGCAAGAAGAGTGGCCGCAAGGTCACACAAAATCCCTAAGTAACCTTTATGTTTTTTGTGTGGAATATAAGAGGCCTGAATAGTCCGACTAGGCAGAATATGACTAAGGCATGGATTTTGAACCACAGACCTTTTTTTGGGGCGTTTACGGAGACGCATGTTCAACAAGGAAATTCTAGAAGAATCGAGAGTGCTATTCCAAGGGGATGGAGATTTTTTGGTAACTTTTCGGAGGTTCAAACGGCTCGAATCATTGTGGTTTGGGATCCTAGAGTCTCAGTGGTAATCTACAGTGAGAGTGCGCAGCAAATCACTTGTGGTATTTCTTTGGAGGCGGAGAATCTAAATTTCACTGTTACATTCATCTATGGCTTTAATCTGTTGGAGCAGAGAACTCCTCTATGGGCGGACTTGGTCAATTTCGCCAATACTACTCCTCTGGCTACTCATCCTTGGGTGGTCACTGGCGACTTCAATCAGATTATCAGACCATCTCACAACTCCCGCCATCTGGAAGAGGAGATTGATATCTCGGGGATTGATGACATTACTTTGGCAATGCAAGAGGCAAATCTATTTGAGGCTCCCTCTAAGGGTCTCACTTACTCGTGGTGGAATAGGCAGGAAACCAATCCAACACTGAAGCGCATTGACCATGCTCTTATTAATGCAAAATGGGTGGAGAACTTTCCGGACTCCTTCTCAGAACTCTTAGAGCCTCTGCAATCCGATCACTCGCCCATCCTTTTCTCGATGCCTTCTCTGAGACGTGGAGTGAGGAAGTCTTTCCGCTTTTTCTGCCATGTGACTGATCATCCCCTTTATCCTTCTGTTGTAGCAGAGTCTTGGAACCCGGATGCAGTCACGGGATCAGCGCAGTTCAAGCTTATCCGCAACCTAAAGATCTTGAAGGCTCCACTCAAGCTGATTAACAAAAACCATTATAGTGGCGTCACCAAAAGGGTTCAGGAGCAGGAGAGGATAACGGTGGAGATTCAACGTTTGCTGCATACAAACCCATCGGAGGTGTTAGCACGAGATGAGCATGAGGCGAGAAGCCGATGGAATGTTTTGCTTAAAGCGGAGGAGAAGTTCTTCAAGCAAAAATCAAGGGTTAAGTGGCTCAACCTAGGGGACAGGAACACTGCCTATTTCCATAAGTGTGCCACTATGCGACTGTCCCAAAACCACATCTACTTCCTCAAAGATGGACAAGGGAGAAGGGTAGTATCTCAGACTGATCTGAAGAATCACTCGGCTGCATACTTCCAATCAATATTCGGGTGCACTGACATGCCAACTTCAGGTGCTTCTGTCGTAGATCTCAAGGAGCTCCTGCCCTTTAGATGCTCTTCCTTGGAGATAGCTTCTCTGCAACGACCAGTCCAGGAAGAAAAAATTGTAAAGACACTCTTTGGGATGCCAAGAGATAAGTGCCCGGGTCCAGATGGGTATCCTATCGAGTTCTTTATCTCCTCTTGGAGCAGAGTAGGTCCGGAGGTGGTCGAGGCGGTATCAGAGTTCTTCCGCCATGGCCGCTTGCTCAAAGACCTCAACACCACTTTCATAGCGCTGATCCCTAAGACTCCGGAGGCATGCTCGCTTGGTGACTTCAGACCCATCAGCTGCTGCAATCTAGTATATAAAATAATCTCTAAGATATTGGCTAACCATCTGAAACCTGTGTTGAAGGGAAGCATCTCGCCAAACCAGTCGGCTTTTCAAAAAGGGCGTATTTTGGGTGAAAACGTCTTGTTGGCAACGGAACTGATTAGGCACTATCAGCGGAGTAACTGTCCGAGGGCTTCAATGCTAAAGGTGGATATAAGGAAGGCCTTTGATACAGTCTGCTGGGACTTTGTAAGTAAGCTGCTTGAGGCGCAGGACTTTCCACCGATTTTCAGGATGTGGATCCGAGAATGTTTCTCTTCACCTCGGGTTTCTATTATGGTGAATGGAAAGCCGGCTGGGTTCTTTGAAAGGAAGAAGGGTCTACGCCAAGGTGACCCCATATCACCTTACCTATTCATTATGGTCATGGAGGCTCTGTCGTGTATGTTGGATAAGGCAACTCGGGAAGAAAGCTTTACTCTGCATCCGCAATGCGAGAGCCCTCTCATTACGCACCTCCTCTTCGCTGATGACCTACTGGTCTTCTCGGATGGCTCTAGTTCCTCGATGGCAGGTATCTCTGAGGTTTTAAGAGTCTTTAAGAGCTACTCGGGACTTGACATGAATGCAGCAAAGTCTGAAATCTTCTTCAGTGGCTATACTGAGGCTGAGGTGGCTAGTCTAAGCAGTCAAGTGGGTATAAAGGCGGGGAACTTTCCGACGAGGTACCTTGGTCTGCCATTGAGCTCGCAACGGCTATCTAGCTCTGTCCTGCAGCCGTTTCTTGACAAGATCAGAGGCAAGCTGAATTCTTTTACTGTGAGATTCCTATCTTTTGCAGGGAAGATAAGGATGGTCTCATCAGTTATTTATGGCATTGTGAACTTCTGGAGTCAGGTTTACAGCCTCCCAAAAGCTTTTTATGCAAAGGTGGATTCTATGTGCTCGGCTTTCCTCTGGAACAACAGAACCGATTCGGCAAGCGGTGCAAGAGTTGCTTGGAAGGATGTGTGCAAGCCACGCTCGGAGGGAGGTCTCGGAGTTCGGAATTTACAAGGGTTTGAGGTGGTTTTCAAGTTGAAGCAGGTTTGGAACCTCTTTGCAAACTCAGGCTCTCTCTGGGTCGCTTGGATGCGAGAGAATGTGTTCGCAAGAAGGAGCTTTTGGGTCACCCTGGACGCCTCTCGATTCTCAAGGACTATCAGAGACATGCTCAAGTTGAAGCCTTTGCTATCTACGTTTCTGAAGTGTGAAGTTGGAAACGGAACGGTCACAGCGTTCTGGTGGGATTCTTGGACAACTCTGGGACCGTTTATTGACTTTGTGGGCACGACAGGGCCTCGTATGCTACGCCTGAGATTGGATGCGCGTGCGGCTGATGCGGTGCAGCTTGGGAGCTGGCGACTCCCAAATGCAAGGTCGGATGCGGTGCAGGCTCTGCAAATCCATTTAACCGCCATCTCTCCTCCTCAAGCAGGCAGTGGAGAGGACACTTACCTTTGGCGCCTGCCCTCAGGGATTTATTCAAAGAACTTCTCCTCCAAGGGAACTTGGGAGCAGCTGAGAGTTCGATCGCTGCCAGTTAGCTGGGCTAAGACGGTCTGGTTCACTGAAGAGATTCCACGAGCCTCCTTCATCCTCTGGTTAGTGATCCTGAGAAGGTTGCCAACTCGAGATCGGCTTTTGAGCTGGGGAATGAATGTCCCGAAGAGTGCCCGCTTTGTACTTCTCACCAAGAATCTCATGACCACCTCTTCTTTGAGTGCCCGCTTTCTCAGGAACTCTGGCTCTTCTTTGCGTCGCGAATTTCAGGGCAGAGTCAACAGCCGCTGCTTCCATCCATTCTGGACACAATACTGCTTCCCCCGATTTCTACCTCGGCGCACACCACCACGCTGATGAGGTTGCTGCTACAAGTCACGGTCTACGCTCTGTGGAGAGAGCGGAATGCACGGATCTTTACCACAACGAACACGCCAATACATGCCTTGAAGGGTGTAGTGGACCGCACGGTTCGAGATCGTCTCCTTTCCTTCCCTTCGCTGGATGGCACTCCTTCTCTTCTAGAATCATATTTTGCTTGTATCTCATATCCGTTATGATAAACTTTGGTCTGTTCCACATGTGTGGGGTAAGTTTTTAGGTAAGTTTCTTTTTCAGTTTGTAAATATTGTAACCCTTTACTTTTTGGTATAAATCTTAACATGGAAAACCAAAAAAAAAAAAAAAATTATTTATCCAATCTCATAATTTCTCCTCTAATTATTAGGATATATTCATCTTGTATATATATGTCATGCACTATGTCTATTGAGAAGTTATGAGAGTAAATAATACTTCTTCCAATTCCTTAACTCTCATCTTATCACTAAAGATACTGAACAAATCTAAATTTATCACAAACAAAAAAATTGTTTTCAAGAACAGACAATAAAGAAATGAGAAATGATGGAAGAACACTTTTATTTTTTCAATTTATTAGCATTGAAGTAACAACAATGAAATCTCCAAAAAAAGTGAAAAATAAAAAATAACGAAATCAGTGCTTCCTCCGTGGAAGAGAAACAAAAAAAAGCTTTGGCTCTGAAGCAAACAAACATACATGTCGAACGAAACGTAGCCCCATTCATCTCTACCGGATAATTGCTGAACCCCATGTTAAATCGGCTCCAAACCCGGACGTGGCTGTGATATGTCCCGGTTTAACTTTCCCGATTCTCACCGCCTCATCAAGAGCTAGGGGAACCGAAGCAGCGCTTGTGTTACCGTAATTAGCCAAATTCGAAATCACTCTTTCCTCTGGAAACTAAAGTCTTGTAGCCACAGATTGAGGAACGCATTTGACAGCAAAGCGAAACACTTCTTTATCGTTCATCTGAATGCAAGAATCTGTCTTTACTTAAAATATCTTGAGGTTTCATATAAAAAAAAAAATATATATATATATATATATGGTTAAAATTGTATTTAACCCAGATTATTGTTATTGTCGGTTTTATTTACACTGCTGCTAAGTCGCATATGTTGTCATGATATGAGGCTGATCTGATAATTAAATAATTACGTTAAAAAAGGAAGAACTTGTACTCGAGAGAAGAAGATAAACAAAGTAACATTTAAATGACAGGATATAGAAGGCACATACAATCTAGGATCGACAATATGACACATGCATAAACCAGCAACACATTTATTCAAATACTAGCACTAGAGTCTAGCATTTTTTGTCACATACGCGACAAAACTGAAAGAAAAAAAAAGGGAAAACAACACTTAGGTACGTGATATCTTATTTTTGGGTATGCTTGTTTAGGCACTTTCAGCTGCTGCAAGAGAGCCCTTGTTGCATATAGTAGAACACGCCTTGGTGCATTGTTCAACCGCATCACTGACAATTTCACTTGCGTCTACTCACCGAAACAAAACTCAAACAGATTAATTCTCTTTTCATATATATTATTAGAAAAACAAATGATAATAGTGATTACTGATTAGTGAGCTTGGGAAGTTTGCTTTAATTACCGGAGTTCTGAAGAGTGGTCAAGGCACCGCACGCAGAGAATGCACACCCCAACTTGCAGTATTCATTGACAGCATCACCTTGACCTAAGAAAAAAAAAAAAAAAAAGAAAAAACAAAAAACTTAAAAATCTCCATCGATCTTGTGACAGCTAAAATATTAAAGCACAACTAAAATACTATAATGGCCAGTTCAGTTTACCCGATTTTCTTAGAAGGCCATAAGGATAATCTGGAGGGCAAGAAGGAGGTACCATGCATCCACTTTTAGAACAACAAGTCAGAAGAGATACTGTGTTCCTACATGTATTATATATATCTCTGGCAGACTTCGTCGGGCAGCAGACCATTGGGTCCCGTGCTTCTACTTGAATTTGCGCCATGAGGAGAGTCACTATGACCACACTTAAAATCATAGTTTTGCCTTCCATCTTTTGCTTGATTCTTGTTTGATCACAAAATTTTACGTAAGAGGAAACACTTATTATTAAGCTTTTTATTGATGAAATGGCGATGAATCTAGACTTACTTATATACTAGTTGTTTTACGTACAATAATATATCAAACCCCAATTTTTATATTTAGATTTCTCTAGAGTTACATACTGGTCCTTTATCAAAAAAAAAATAAAAAAAAAAATAAAAAAACTTGTCCTTACGTACTATAAAGTACTTATTTGTTTTCCCTCTTTCTTCGAAAAACTGCACGACGTCGACTGTATCACTCTTGTTAATAGTTAATCTGCATTGTTAAGTTCACAATCAATTTTTGTTTTGATCGATATATATAATAATATTTGTATGTTCGTAATAACCGTATATTTATTTTATAGAATCTACACACATGCAACCACATGCTTCACGAAGATTTTGTCTCTTCAGATAATTGCACCTATGACCTAACAAATCCGAGAAAACTTTCAAACCTAAAAATAAAACATGTCTTTTCTATAAAGAATTCATTTCTCAGTTTTTTTAAAAAAACCATCCAAGGTCTTCCTAAACTACTACGAATCCTTCCTAAGAGAAGAGCTTAAAGCTCAGATCAACAGTCGTCAATATCAAAGAACAATGATCTATACATAATAGAAAAAATTTTAAAAAAAATGTTGACATGAATCTCTCTTAAATCAGCTCCCAAAGAGCAATTTCAAAACATGAATCTTTCTTTTCTACTGTTTGGCACTATATATACATTATATTCTAGTCATATGATCCACATTTCTCTTATGATGTGTATCCTCTTAGATATTATGTCTCCAGGAAAAAGTCGGAATTGCGACTTTTACTAATAGGGTTCAAGTAAATGCAGGTTTCGGCCAAACGCCACAGAGTTCGTGTGTGGAAAGTCAGATGTGTGTTTGTATGGGTACGTATTGGCACACAAAAGTTGCTCAAGTACTAAAGTACTAATCAGCACATCTACCAATATTTGGGGCAGGAAATGTATGTTTTCTGTTCGTGTAACACTAAGATTGACAGCCCTAACTGCTTTCAAATTTTCGAATTTAAAGTGCTACTAGAATAATGCCCGCACATTATAAGGGGGATGAAATAATTTTGAAGTAAAATTAAATTATTTTTGGTAAGTACAGAAAAATATAAATATGTTTGGTTATAGAAATTAGAATATTCAAAAATATGTAACAATGAAAATAAATGTGTTTGGCAATTGGTGTAAAAAATAAAAAATAAAAAGGTTAGAGAAAAATTGTGAGAGTGAGACATCATCAAAACTGCCTCCAATATTCCTCCTTTAATATATAGAGGATATATTGACAGCCCTAACCGATTTTTTTTTTTGAGAAATATTTTAAAGATTTGATTTCGCACGTCTAAAAGAAAACTATGCATCATCTCTTTGGCAAGAAACAGTTCTAGCATTATGAGCCAATTGCCATCTAATTTATTTAATCTTGCTCACCAGTTTTATTAAATTCAATCCCACAAGATTTAAGATGGAGTTCATTCAAAAGTAACTGTAGGGAAGAGTGTCTTAGTTTTTTTTTTTTTTTTGAACAAGATTTATGATAGTTTTTCTGAGATTACAATTACGGTTTCGGTGGGATATATACTAAGAGCATGTTTATTGGTGTTACTTATCACCATCTCTTAAGAGAATCTTCTTAAAAAAAATTAAAAATGCCTAATTATGCTGAAAACGTTTATAAGGAAGTTAAACAATTACAAGAGACGTTTCACGGAACACGTGTCTGATTGTAATTGGACTGAGCTGTTAGAAAGAAAAAATCTCGTTTTTCTTTTCCTCATTCTGTGAGGCGATTCGCCTTCGATCCTGTTTCATCGAATAAAACTCTCGATTTGGTGTATTGGCGGCGGGTTCAGGGGAAGGTAGGAAGATACGGCGGCGATGGTCGTTTTGGTGGAGGAGGAGAACGATTTGGTGGTAGCGGTGGACGATTTCGTGGTGGCAATAGAGCATGCTGAAGAAGGGTACTTTGGCGGCGGCGGCGGAAAAATTCGGTGAGTGAGAGGTCGATTCAGGTTCCTCTGTTGTCTTCTTCGTGGTCGTCATCTCTTGGAGCCTTCGATCAGTTACCGATGGATTATACATTTGCACTTTAGTTTCAAAAGTTTTAATTTTTGTTTTCTTTCTTTTCTGTGTGTTTGTGTCATCTTGTGATGAAGGTGGTTCTGGATATTGCAAGTTTGGGTGGAGCAAGGTGTATCGTCTTTTGAGAAGACCCTTTGTCAAGCCTCTCCAAACTGCTGCAGAGAATCTGCAGGTGAAGAAAAGATGGTTTCGTGTTTCCAAAGACTGCTGACATAACACACAAGAGGAGTGTACATTGGAATTCCCGGACAACATTCTGTCTCCTGTAGCTAGACGATTAATTGCTAGCCAGGCACAGAAACTATATTTTGGCGTTGAATGAGAGAACCATACTCCTTTGTACCAGTCCAGAACAGATCCCTCTTGTCTGAGCTGCAGCCACGTTGAAGAAAAGATGGTTTCGTGTTTCCAAAGACTGCTGACATAACACACAAGAGGAGTGTACATTGGAATTCCCGGACAACATTCTGTCTCCTGTAGCTAGACGATTAATTGCTAGCCAGGCACAGAAACTATATTTTGGCGTTGAATGAGAGAACCATACTCCTTTGTACCAGTCCAGAACAGATCCCTCTTGTCTGAGCTGCAGCCACGTTGTTTTTGTATTGAAAAAGGGTTTATACACATCTCCTGAGGCTTTCCATTGAGGCTTATCAGCAGCATCTTCCGGAGTTCTATTTCGATAAGTTTGCAGCATATTATGGATTAGTTGCAGGTTCTCTGTATTGTGGTTTCTCTTGCGTATACTAGAAAGTGCTTCCGCCACTGTTTTTGAAGCAGTGACGCCTAGGTCTATGAAACCACGAGGTCCAGTGATATCAAACAGAGGACCTAAAAGTGATGTTGAATACATTTCAGAACAAAAAGAATCACTGTGATTGAAAGAAAGGTTTTCGATCATTGGTTGTTGATAACATACTCTCAAGACATAAAATTCAAATATATCATCTTTGTTTTCTTTATACACTTTAAAAAGTTAAGAACACTTAAAAAAACTTTAGCAATAATTGATTGGAAAACACATGTCTCTTAACAAGGTCTTTTAACTTAAATGTATTGTTATAATATTGTTAAGAGACATCTGGGGGTTTCCAATAAACATGCTCTAAGGTGGGAGAGATAAATCATTACATCTAAAATATCTTGAGGTTCATATAATATAGTTATAGTATTTATGGTTATAACTTTTTTTAACCAGACTGCAAGATTACTTGTTATTGTCGTTATAAGGAAGATTTTTTTTTAAACTGTGGCTTAAATAAATGGAAATGAAAGCAAATTAAAACAGTCGCGAGAAGGAGATTGATAAAGACACATTATCCTTTATTTAGATGACATATGATATATAGAAGGAAAATACATATACATAAACCACCAACAAACTTATTCAAATACTAGCATGAGAGTCTAGCATTTTTGTCACATACACGACAATATTGAACACAACACTTAGTGTGATATCTTATTTGGATGTGCTTGTTTAGGCACTTTTAACTGCTTTAAGAAAGCCCTCGTTGCATACAGTAGAACATGCATTGGTACATTGTTCAACCGCTCCATTCACAATTTCGTTTGCGTCTAGTCACACCCAAAACAAAAAAAGATTAATAAACCAATTATCTTTGTCATATTATTCTAACTTAAGAAAACTGATAATAGCTAGTGAGCCTGGAAAGTTTGCTTTAATTACCGGAGTTCTGAAGATTGGTCATAGCACCACACACAGAGAATGCACACCCCAACTTGCAGTATCACCTTGACCTTAAAAAAATAAAATAAAACTTGCATCAAAAATATAATCACCATAAAACGATCTTGTAACAACTAAAATAATAAAACACAAATAATACATAGACAAAAATGTTGAGTTCAATTTACCCGATTTTTTAAGAATGTCATTAGGATATCGAGTCACAGTTTTGCCTTCCATCTTTTCCTTGTTTGATCACAAAATTTTAACTAGAGGAAACACTTATTATTAAGCTTTGTTTGTATCGATGAAATGGTGATGAAACAACACTTACTTAAATAGTAGTTGTTCTACGTAAAATTTCAAACCAAAAGTTTCATTTTTAGAATCATCTAGAGACCACATGCTTCACGACCACCTTGTCTCTTCAAACTATTGCAACTAACAAATCCGAGCAATCATTCAAATTCAATGAATGGGTCCTTTCAATAAAGAGTTCATTTGTTTTCCTATTCTCTTTTAAAGTTCGTGGTTTTTTATAGCGGATCCCTCTTTTCATTCAAGTGTCTGTCTAGTGCCATCATTGAAATGATCATTTGATATTCATTACCAACCTCCTAGATCTACTCACAAATTTATCTACAAATTTATCCAAAGCACTTATCTGGAATGCTATAAAGTCTACAAACAGGCAACCAGATACTTCACCACCACCTTATATCTCTTTCAAATTAAATTAATGGGGCCTTTACCAGAGCATTGATCAAATCTCTCTCTTGGACATTGGCTTCTCTTGAGCATTCTCTATCCATTTATGTTGTTATTTACTGCATTTTACATTTCTTTATAAGTGACTAAAGGTTCTAAAGATTCAGACAAATCTAAATTTATTACTAACAAAAAATTGTTTTCAAGAACAGACAAGAAAGATTCAAGAAAATAAAGATATGAGAAATGATGGAAGAACACTTTTCTCTTTTCAGTTTATTAGCATTCAAATTTCAAGATAAACTACTAACAAGCAACAACAATGAAACCTCCAAAACAAATGTGAAAAAGAAAAAAAAATGACGAAATCTGACAAAACAAAATGCGCTTTACTTCCAAATAAACCGGACTAAACATCCAGTGCTTCCTCTACTCTGTGGAAGAGTAACAAAAAAAAAACTTTGGCTCTGAAGTAAAACAAACATACACTGTCGAACGTAACGTAGCACCACCATTCATCTCCACCGGATAATTGCAGAACCCCAAGTTAAACCGGCTCCAAAACCGGACGTGGCTATGGTATGTCCCGGTTTAACTTTCCCACTTCTCACCGCCTCATCAAGAGCAAGAGGAATCGAAGCAGCGCTTGTGTTACCGTAGTTAGCCAAATTCGAAATCACTCTTTCCTGTGGAATATGAAGTCTTGTAGCCACAGAGTCTATTATTCTCTGGTTTGCCTGCAAAATGTTTTGTAAAGACTCTCCATTTAAACCATCTTCAGGTACCAAAGCTCTAAACTTTCACCATTTTTTAACTCAAAATTCAAAACTTTTATCATTGAAGACTTTGATTAACCTGATGGAGGAGGAGCCAATCAATGGAAGAAGCAGGAAGACCGGCTTTTTGTAAAGCAGACTCAATAGATTGAGGAACGCATTTGACAGCAAAGCGAAACACTTCTTTCCCGTTCATCTGAATGCAAGAATACGAAGATTGTTTCGGTGGGAAGTCTCCTCCAAACACAGAGCCATTGGAGCTCAAGGCACCATCATCAGTTTGTGATTCTTTAACAGAAGCACTCAAATGTCTGCCAAAAAAACAGAGACTCTTCAGTTTGAAGATGAATGTTAAAGAGGCCAAAAAAAATGAAAATGTGAATCTAATTACCTACGACCATCTCCATCGCTGTGTACATCGAAGCTAAACAACCCATCATCCTCAATATCACAAGCCTGCAAGAAAATGGAAGAACAAAGACTGATCCTTTAGATCATTACTGGTTTGTAATGTGGCAAGGAATCTTCTTTCTTGTGATGATGATTTGCTTAGAGGTTATACTCTGTTTCAGTAACCCAATGAAGCTTATATGCAAACATATAAGACATAAAGTAGGCTCAAGAACAATACCTGAACAACCACAGCACCAGCGGCGTCTCCAAAGAGAATGCAAGTTCCTCTATCCGTCCAGTCAACAAACCGAGATAAAGAATCAGCTCCAATCACTAAAACATTCTTAAAACCGCCTCCTGGGAAAAGAAAGGATAGTGTTGTTACAGACTTATCTTATTAGCAAACTAATAACTCTGCAAAATGAAATAACTTTTACCTCTTATATGACAAGCAGCTGAGACCAGACCCAAGACAAATCCACTACAAGCAGCTGTGATATCATAAGCTAAAGGGTTCTTTGTGCAACCAAGTGCCTTTTGAATCTGCCATCAACAGAGAGTTATAGCGAAGTTTCTTGACTCTGTCAAAGCCAAAATTAGATCTAAAGGGCTTAACAAATACCTGAGGAGCAGCACCGAATAGATCATCAGGAGTGGAAGTACACATCAAGACTAAGTCAATATCTTCAGGAGCAACCTCTGCCATTTCAAGGGCTTTGGTTGCTGCCTCTACTGCTAATCCAATCAAGCTATCTTTGCCTTCACATTGTAGTAGTTTTGCAGAAAATCAATGCCTCATTCTCTAAATGATCATACAGCAGAAATGAATATAATGTTTTGTTTACCTGAAACAACACGACGGTTGCGAATGCCCGTACGAGTAGCTATCCATTCATCATTAGTGTCGACTATTTTGGAGAGATCATCATTAGAAATCAGAAGACTTGGCACTGCTGAACCAGATCCAATCAATTTGCAGCCACTCGGCACAAGCCTATACACAGGACACAAAGGAAATGATGAATCAGAGAGACCACTTAAATGCTTTCAAGTGATTCAAGCTCCAATGATGAAGATTCATCACTAAAGCTAAGCTAAGACTTAACCATAAGCATGAATCAGAGACTAACTTAAATGCATTCTCCAAAAAAGAAATGTGCTTTGAGATTATTCATCTTCTTTAAAGCTAATCAATTTCTGCTTCCAATCTCCCTACTCTCGGAATTGTTACCGCAATATCAAGAAACGATCTCAAAAGTCGATGGATTTTCGAAAGATGAATCACACAGAAAGAACAATAAAGGATGAGTTTTTATTTCACCTGGGTCGTCGATATTCGGAAGGAGACGGCGAAGAAGCATCCTTATCAATGGAGCTAACGCTGGAGCACAAAACCCTTTTAGAGAATCCTTTCGAAACGCAAAACCCAGATCCAGAAACTCTAATCGGGAGGTGGTTTCTGCTTCTCAGGGAAGAAATCGAAGGATGTGTGAAGAACCCAGATGCATTCGCCGCCATTATTCGATTCACCCAAAAGAAAAAGAAACAGAAACGAGATCGTTAAAATGTTTAGAATACAGCGTAATCGAATCGAGGATCTTTCTCTGTCTCTATGAGCTCGAATTTAGAGTAATGCCCAGTGCAAGAGATTGCATCACCCAAATGGAAAAACGGAAAAAGTTCGAATTTTTTTGGTTTTGTGTTGGTTTTGTGGAGAGTGTAAAAATCAAATCTTCGGAAGTTCCGAAGAGAAGAGACAGAGGATGGTGTGAGTGTGTGGCAGCTCAATTTGAGGAGATTCCAATGCTATTGAAAACAGCCATTGGTTTGGTTCCACAGATGAGTAATTTACAAAATTATTCACAAATTTGGCATAGAAGTTGATGAAAATTGTAAATAAAGCCTACTATATAGAGAAACATCGTATTTATTCGGGTCAGAAATATTTCAACGAACATAGGACATTTGTGTAGTACTTTATTTTTGATGTATAAAAAAAATTAACTGACTAATTCTTATTAAATGTTATCGAATAATGTAGCAAGAAAATATATAGTATACATGCTTATGTTATAAAATCTATGTTAAATCAATTTAAAATAATGTTATGTTTTTTTTTAATAAAATACTAAATAGATGTATTTTAAAATAAATAGAAATCGGCAAAACTCTCCTCTCGTCTCATCTCTTTCCCAACATACCATTCCATAAATGCATTTTCGGTTGAGACAATATTCGTGTACCATTTGGTCAAAAAAATAAAATAAAATAAAATAATATATTCGTGTACCACTTGGAGAAATGTAACCAAACGAAAATTCTCAATGTATGGCGAGACAAAATTTCTATAATACATATAAATAAATAATATCAAGCATAAATACCAAAATACACATATCATCCCCCAAAAAAAGAGTACCATATTATTGTCTTTTACTTTCGAAATACTTAAAACAAATGGCACAACAAAAATTCTTAGGAAAGATTTCGAGGTACAGTACCCCACAAATTGGAAAATGCATTTTTACAAGTTAATTAAATTCTTAATTCCGTGGGTTTTAAGTCAAAAGTTAGCATTCATATCATGGGTTAATAATATAAGTAAATGTGTGAAGAATCAAAAGGTGGTTGAGTACCGGTGATATATTAGTAGGGGTTTGGTGAACAACTTGAAGAAGAGCAAGAGATTAAACCAAATCCACTTTCAGAAGTTTATCAAGATGATAAATTACGTTCAAGGCAAAAAAAAAAACTAATGCAAAAAAACGTGAAAGACGATGCAAATGTTGTCAGATGTAGTTGGTTGTGGTCCTTGTGGACCGTCTTGACAATAAGAAGCTGCATAGTTTGGTGGATGAGACAGACACAAAGAAGCTCTTGAGGTTAGATTTGGTTGTTAATACTCATAATTGAATTATATGGTCCTTACATAAATAAAAGAAATTTATCAATGCCATGCCAGAAGAATAAATATATAAACAGATAAATTTTGAAGTAAAACAAACAGATTTGGATAGAAATTAAGATCATAGATTGAAACATGTAGTCACAAAGCACATTTGGCATTTGAAACACAATAAAAACATGTCTGAATTGATAAACAAGTGAGCAGAGATATGAAATGTACAACATTATTAACTTCAAAGCGAGCGCCTTCACAAGCCTTTGTATCTAGCTAGAAGAAAGAAAGACCAGGTAGCTATAGCCTCCACAAATTATTTGGCCTAAACCAACCAAAACAAAATATAAAAGCTTAGAGAAACATATAGAAAGTGAAGCAAATGTGATCAAGTAGAGAGAGAGAATGACCTCTTTGAATTTGCATGAAGATAAGAAACGGTCTTTGGTGGCTTCATCTTCCCATTCAATTTCTTCTATCCATTTCCTCTCTCCGTACTCTATCACAAGTTCTTGTCCCATGTTGCTTTTAGAATCGAGTGGAAGCTTTTTCAACATCGGGCACTCCCTCACATCGATATTCATAAGACAAGGAAACGGTAGAGGACTCTTGTAAATGCTTTTGAGCTTAGGTAAACCATGGAGTTGTAGAAACCTTAGCTTTTGAAAAGGTTTAGTAACTGACTCCACTTTCTCTTTGCTTATTATATCCTCTAGCTGCTTTGCGGTGACAATGGTGAGCTTAGATAGATTTGGAACAAACATCAGCCATGTTAGATCCTTTAGGTTGATGTTGCACTCACTTATATGCACATATGAGAGGTTAGGGAAGCATGGAGTTTCATTATATGCCCTATCAATCTTTATCTCCCATATAACACAAGTGCTTATGCGGAGGCGACGACATTTATCCATAGTTGGCATCTTAAACCCTTCTATCTTAAGATAGCTGTCGATAGATAGATCGGTAACAAGGCTTGCCAACTTGTATGCACTTAAGAGTTGTTTCATTCTTGAGACTGAAGAAACACTTAGGGTTAGAATATCTAAATGATCCATGGCTTGTAGCTCTTTCAGTGAGCTAAGATCTAGCGGAAGAGCTGAATACTTTAATCCCAATATCTTCAACCTCGATAACCTTGATACCCCAACGATACATTCAAGACTCTTTGTGCGCTCCAAGTTCAAATGTATCAAGTTTCTCAACTCTCTTATACCAATAGGCAATCTTTGTATTGATGTATCTGACAAGTCGAGATACTTTAGAGAAAGCAACTCCGATATTTGCTCTGGCAATTCGGTAAGGTAAGAGTTCTTTGACAGATCCAAAACAGCTAACCTTGGCACACACGTAAAGAACTCCTCTGTGATCTTTTCCAGTTTCTGATTCTCTTGAAGGAACAAAGTCACAAGTTTGGGAGATCTAGGGATGTCGGATAAATATGTAATCTCATTACACATCAGTGATATCCGTTTCACATCACTCCAGTTCTTGATATTCTTTGGTAATGAAGATAACTTGAATCTTGCTTGCACAACAAGATTTTCTTTATGCTTCCCATATTCAGATGCTACCCACAAAGCCATTTCACGTACCACATCATGCATCTTCACTTTCCTATTGTCCCTTCCATCTTCCATCAACAAACATGTATGAACGAGAGTACCAATGATCTCATAACCTAGGTCCACCACTTTTTCTCTATCTTCATTTCCATCGATGAACCCTTCGCATACCCAATAGTCTATCAACCTATCTTTCGTTATTAGATAATATTCAGGAAACATAGCACAATATTGGAAACACAACTTCACTTGTTCACCCTTCAAGCTGTCGTAGCTATACTTCAAAACCGGAAGAATGTCGTCTTCCATTCCCGAGAACTCTGAAGCAGATGAAGTCAAAACATCAACAGCGCGACGCCATTCTTGTGCTGTTGATTTACACGCCATGGTCTCCCCAATGGCGTTGAGCGCCAATGGCAAACCACCACATTTCTCGACAACTCTTCTTGCAAGTTCTTGAATGTCAGGATCACTCTTTAACGTGTCTTCTCCAACCTTCTTCCGGAACAAAACCCATGCATCGTCAGCCGACAAACATTGGATCTCCACTGGTGCATGCACTCCCATGCGTGCGCATACTTCACGTGAACGAGTGGTGAATGCTACTTTGCGTTTACTTCCCACCGTCGGGAATGGGATCCCAATCTCTTCTAGGTCTATCTTCCTCCATAGGTTGTCCAACAACAACACAAATTTCTTGTCCTTCAAGGAACTATACAGCTCCACTGCCTTTTGGCTTTCCTTTTTACGGCTCCACTCCTCTCCACGAAGGCCAAGCTTTTCACCAATATCATCTTGGATTTTCCCAACCTGAGAGTCTCTAGAAACTGTGACCCATATCACAATCTTAAACCCATCACTCGTTTGACCTAACTTATTGTTGATCCGCGTGAGGATGGTGGTTTTTCCTACTCCTCCCATACCGTATAGTCCCATAACTCCGGTTTTGTCATCCATAAACCGGTTCCATGCAAGATCGAAGATTTCATTTTGACCAACGATCGTCGGCTGGATAGGTCTTTCTTCGACTTTAGCTTTCACAGGTGGCTCAACCACCACGTCAAAAACCCCTTTGGTTTTGAGATCATCAACTTCTCTTAACGTCAAAAAAACTCTCTTCCCATAATGATAGCTAGAATTTGGATTCTTGGAGCAAAACCCACAAACACACAATTTTTGAAGTTCAAAATTTCTAGCACCTAATAGATCATTGACTTGCTGTTCGATGGAATCGACTCTCTTAAACCATACCTGGACTTGGGAAAGCACTCGTAGATTTCTGTCTTCTCCTTCTCTTTTGGCCCTTCCAAGCAAATCATCTCGCCTTGCCTTGAGCTCTTCCGTGGCTCTCTCCAAAACCGAGAGATTCTCCTCTAGGTTATGGATGTAACTCTCTTTATCAATGAACCATTGAGTGGCTCGATTCAAGATTTGGTCACATGATATTGAGACAGACAAGAAACCTCCCATTATGGAAAGACCAAATAGAGAGAATATCAGAAATCAAAAGCCGTGAAAAGAAACACATTAAAATATTTGGGGAAAGACTAAGAACATATAAAACTATACGAAAAGAGGAAAGATTGATAAAGTACAGGTTTGATGCTTTTCCCTCCTTTTTAGTTTCGTATAGTCTTGTTTGGCTATTTTCTTTATTTCAAATTTTTATTTATTTTATATATTGTATAATAAAGAATTATATTAGCTTTTCGTTTACACTACTTTAATAAAATTAAAACAAACATATGTCAAATGAACGTAAACTAAAGTAGGGTTATATCAAAAGTAAAACAAGTTACACATGTACGTGGAATATAACAACTCATTCGCATGAACAAATATAAAAGAGAATAAACCTAAGGAACCAAACCGATTAGCACAAGGCTCAGTTAGATTTTTTACTCCAAAAAACTCTTTATATAATTAAGAAAGTAACATATTTTCTAATACACCAACAAGTTTAAAGTACACTAGGAGAGAGCCCGCTCTACGCGCGGGTATATTATTTTACAAATTTGGTTTTCAATGGTTCTCGGTTTTTTCGTATGGATGGATTTCATGTGATCCTCCTTAGATTGCTATTCGTTGGTCGCCGTAAACAGTTCAGATTGAGTTCATTATCAATTTCCACTCTCTCACTGTTCTCAATCTTCTTCTATTATTTTCATCTTTGCGTTCTTCATGATTGTTATGTTACCCATTTTCTTTTCGATCATTTGTTTCTTGTTTATATATTTTTTACCTTCTCCAAACCTTCTAGTTTTTCAATTACCTTTAACTTTAGCGTTTTGATTTCATCACTTAACAATTTGTATCCTTCTCCACAAATCTTGTGCTGTTCGTCGTGTGTGGGAAATTCTATTACTTTATTTGATCACCGCTCTTTATGTCTCAGAGTCACAGTGTTTCAAACTTTTGGTTCTTTTAGTTTATTTTCTAAAATTGTTTCTTATCTTAATCATTCTTATCCCTTATACATATGGTATGATTTTATGTTGTACATTTTTTGGTTAATTTTTTTTCTTTCTTGTTCTAATATTTCTTCAATTGTTTGAAATTTTGTCACCCACAAAACTGGATGTCTTCCCTCTCTGTTTCGCACTCATACTTATGATAACCAAAGCAATATGTTAGCAACTAAAGCGAAAACATTGAAACAATTCTGAAACTCCTCTCTTCCATTCTCCTTTTCTCTTCTCAATACTTTAGCTAAGTTTTGTCTTTAAACTTGAGGGTTAGTATACCTCTGCCTACGAAAGCTTATTAAGCTTATTGAAAACAAAACATTCAAAAACATATCTATGGGAGGAGATCACCTGCTCTATAACAAAGAAACCCGTAGTACAATTCCCTATAATCCAATTTCTAACTGCATAGTCATGATTTGTTTTCTACCACCCTAGGTGCTAAGTAATCTAAGGTTCCAATGCAAATACCATGAGGATACTGGAATTTTAAGGAGCTTGGTAGGTAAATATTCCCATACACTGCTGTGAATACAAAACTCGGTTTCCAATCTGTTAAGTTGATAAGAATTCTTCCTGCATAGAAGATACAAAAGAAATTTAGTTTATTAGCATTTGTAAACTGACAATCGTTGCACCTAAGTCAATAAATAAATAAAATGCTATAGCATCTTCAGAAGACAGAACAATAATTATTGGGTAACCCATAAGCTCAGAGTCCACATGAGGAGAGTAGTTGTTCAGAAGCATAATCTAAGCTGGGAAAAAAAGAAATAAGGACTAAATGAAAAAGGGTTGGTGGAATGATTGATAACCCATGGAATTTTTCTGGAACAATAGAAGAAACGACATTGGAGGATAGAGGAGAACCTCGTACCATGTTTCTTGTTCCATCTTTAACTCTTCCACCACCTTCTTTCCCCTCGCCTAGCTGGATCACGGAATCAATAGGCCAAAATAACAAAACTTTCAATCAAATATTAGAAACGAAGGATATTAATAGACAGAGAGAACCTGTAATTGGCTTAGATTAACAGTTATGGAGTAAAACATACTGAAATGTTTGGGTAACAAAGTAGTTTCAGTATTGGTATATATGTAGAACAACCGGCTTTGGTGTCCTGTTGAGAAAGACGATAAGATTTTGGAAATACGATCATCATAATGGTGTGACTAATGTATTTAAGCCGACGCAGGGGAAAAATTCATCTGAGAGAAGAGGAATGTGCGTTGAAAAGTGTAATTGTTGAAGAAAGCGGAAAAAAAAAATTGAAACCTTGAAATACTCGGAAGCTGCGGTATTTTTGCATTGAAGTTAAACTTTGGTGGGACGATGGAGAACTGGACCTGTTAGTGTGAGCAGTTATAGCACTGTTAGTGTATGACAATGTTTATGGTGTAATGCGTATAAACAAAATGCCCGAAGAAAAAGCAGGGACGTAAAAACGTAAGTGGTAAATGGAAGGAAACTCACCGATTTCTATATTTGTATAGAGGCTTGGTAGCGTTAAAAAAAATGCTGTTGAACTTTTTCCGAGATGTCCTGTCCATTGACCGAGAAACGTATGAGAGAGACCATAAACACCGAGGGGGAACAATGGTAAAGTTTAAAACGTATGATAAAGAAAGTGAATGAAGGTAGTTTGTCACCTGTAGTGGGCACATTATCCATTTTGGAAGAGAATGTGAGGGTAATCTTAGAGTTGAGACTTGAGAGAATCTACAGTTAGAATGAAGGTTAATAGTGTATAAGAAGTTAAAAGGAAGCGATATTGTAGTCGGAGAGTGATGATATAGAGCAACCGTAAGGAAATATAAACCAAGTGGTTTTCAACTTTCCACACATGAAACATACAGCAAACGTCACTGGCTTTGGCTTATACACAGACCCGATCTCAAACAAAGATGGAACAGTTTCTTAGGCAGCACCTACTGTCACATCCAAATAAGAATCTACTAAGTGTACCATTTAGCTACCGGCGAAAATTAAAAAAACAGAAAGAAACATGAGAATACACATAATAAGGTTTCATTTTGAGAAGTGGCTACAAATTTTATAGCAGTTTGAACATTGCAGAATCGGAAACTCGGGAAAAAAGGAAACTCTCACCGGAGAAATAAACGAAAGATGATCGGTCAATGCGTCTGTGGAGCCAATGCGATTCAGGAGGATGTAGGCGGAGAGGTGGAGAGGAAAAAATTGGGTGACATTAAAAATCATATTAACCCTAAAATCAAAACGACGTCGTTTTGGCGTTGGAAGGAAAAAAAAAAGTGCCACAAAAAACGACGTCGTTTTGGTTTTAGGCGAAAAAAAAAAAAAAAGGACAGTGCCACGTGTCAAAGGCAGGAAAGTGTCCAAGCCTTATTAATTAGTTATGTAGATTAAACCCGGTTTAGTTTTAGCGTTATTGTACCTTCTTTGTATTTTCTTTGTATCTTTTCTTCTTTTTATCTTGTATTCTCAAATGGTACTATTTTGGAAGGATGAATAAAAGAAAAGGTAAAAAAAAAAAATAATAAAAAATAAAAATAAAATAAACCCGGTTTAGTTCCGGTTTTAATAAAAAAATGTTAAAAAAAATTAATCTTGATTTTGCTCCATTACACTGAAATTATCTTATTTTTCCAAACATTAAACACGGTTTAGTTCCGGTTTTGATAGAAATGTTAATAATCTAATCCGTCGGTCGAATCAACTTTGGTGGGCCATTTTAATGACAGAATCTCTCCGTGGCTTGACTTGACCCAAGAGCTATTGAGAATCTCGTAAAAAGCCAAATGGCACCGTCCTCTTCATCAATCAAATCACGCCACGTGGCTGTAATCGGAGCTGGAGCTGCCGGACTAGTCGCGGCGAGAGAGCTTCGACGAGAAGGTCACTCCGTCGTCGTCTTCGAGAGGCAGAAACAGGTCGGAGGAACCTGGATCTACACCGATCGTGTCGAGTCGGATCCGTTAAGCGTCGACCCGACCTGAATCGTCGTTCACTCGAGCGTCTATGGCTCACTCCGAACTAACCTTCCTCGAGAGTGTATGGGATTCAGAGACTTCCCGTTCGCGATCCGATCCGGCGAATCCAGAGATCAGAGGAGGTTTCCGAGTCACGGTGAAGTTCTGGCGTATCTGCGAGATTTGTCTAGTTTGGCATCGAGGAGCTGATCCGGTTCGAGACGACGGTTGTGCGTGTTTCTCCGGCGGCGAAAAGCGACGGCGGAGAAGGAATCGGTGAATGGAGAATCGAATCTACAGAGAAGGAGAAGAAAATTCATCGCTATGAGATTTACGATGCAGTTGTTGTTTGTAATGGACATTACATTGAACCTCGTCTCGCTGAAATTCCTGGTAAATTCCTGAAATCATTTCAAAAACAGAAACTTCATTGGAACATTTGAAAACTAATGAATCATTTCAGGGATAAGTTATTGGCCAGGGAAGAAGATGCATAGCCATAACTATCGTCTTCCACAACCATTCAAAGATCAGGTACTCAAAATCACTGATGATAACAATGTCAGATTTTTTATGCAAAAGATTAATGTGAAGCTTGTGCTGCATTGCATGGATTATAGGTTGTTGTGCTGATTGGGAACTCTTCAAGTGCTGATGATATAAGCAGAGACATTGCTGGATTCGCCAAAGAAGTTCATGTGGCTTCTTGGTCAAATCCAGCTGACACATACATCAAACAAACTGGTCACGATAACATGTGGATGCATTCAATGGTGAGTTTAGCTCCTGAGTAGTACTTATTGTAATTTCTTGCATCTCCAAACGCAGATTGAGCGTGTCCTTGAGAATGGTTCTGTGGTTTTTCAGAATGGGGAAACGATTTTGGCTGATGTGATAATGCATTGCACTGGGTAATAATGATATATTCACATGTTCTGTAGGCTCTGATTTTTCTTGAAACTTAATTAAAGCTCTTTCCTTTTTGGTTATAAAGGTATAAGTATGACTTCTCGTTTCTTGATACCAATGGAAGTGTTGCTGTAGACAATGGCGAATCTAGAGCCATATTATAGTGGGGGCATTAAGCTTAAATTTTCAGTTTTTGGGGCCTAGTTTGAAATATGTTTAAGTAGTTAATATGGGAAATCAAAATTTGACTGGTGGCAACTGCCACCATGCTGGTGTATGTGGTGTCGCCACTGGCTGTAGATGATAATCGTGTTGGTCCATTGTATAAACACATCTTTCCTCCACCATTAGCACCGTGGCTCTCCTTCGTCGGGATACCATGTAAGGTACAAAAGCTCTAAATCGGCATAGCTTTTGTTATCTTCTGCTACGGTTTGGGTTTTGAAGTCTATAAACAAATTTTGATTTTTTTTCAGGTTATACCGTTTCCTATGTTTGAGCTGCAAAGCAAGTGGATTGCGGGTGTTTTGTCGGGTCGGATCATGCTTCCTTCAGAAGAAATCAAGAAACTGTATGCAACACTTGAAGGGGAAGGGATTCCTAAGCGACATACTCACTCTTTGGGCAGCAACCATGTAAGCAAGAGTCTCTTAACATGTTGAAAGCCAAACGGAAACAGATTTATTTGTAATTTTTGGTGTGTGTTGTGCTTTTTGTCACAGTTTGAGTACAATGATTGGTTAGCTTTACAATATGGGTGCTCAGGAACAGAGGAGTGGAGGAAAGAGATGTTTTTGATGAGTTTCATGAGGAAGATGGAGAATCCGGAGACGTATGGAGATGGATGGGAAGATCATCATCACTTGGTTGCTCTATGTAAAATCAATTTAGATTTGTACTACATGTCAGAATTGAGTGCGTGTATTGATCAATGTACAAACTATATTAAATAACAAAGAGACAACCTTTGACAAATGTAAACCATGGTTGTCTCCAAAGCCTTGAGATTCTCGTTGAGATGGTAAATATAATCTTTCTTTGATGCATAACCATAAGATACAACATCCCATATTTTAGACAAACAAAATAGATCCATAAAGCAATCTGGTTTGATTAAATTCAACAAAAAATATTACACAACTAATCAAATATTACACAGCGGAAAACATTCCAATCAATTTCAAAAGTAACAGATAGTGGTAGTGATTTGAGAGAGAGAGAGAGAGCTTTCTGGATCAAAGGCAAATGGCATCTTCAACTTCCAACGAGCTGCATCAGAAGTCCCACATAGACTTACTCTGTAACATAAACAAAAGACAGAGGCATTAAAAAAATGGAAGCAGTTCATAACCCGAAGAAAAATCATATGAAAACAAATAAGAAATACGAGAAATTATACCAATTTGCATGAAGATAAGAAGCGAGTTTTGGTAGCTTCGTCCTCCCATTCCACACCTTCAATCCAACTTTCCTCTTATTAAGACGAGTCCATTTTCACCATGCATGCCACTTTGAGAATCCAGTGGAAGCTTTTTCAGATTTGGACATCTCGATTACATGAATCTTTAGACATGGAAAGCGTAGAGGATTCCAATAGATATTCTTTAGCTTCGGTAGACTCCGCAACTAAAGAGAAACCAGCTTTGCAAAAGGAACAATCCCTGATTCTTCACTTCACAAGCTTTCTCTTTGTTTATTATATCTTCTAGTTGATCTGCATTAACTTCAAGTTCTTTAAGATTTGAAGCAAACATCAGCAACGTCAGCTCCCTCAGGCATTTGCATATATATACACTTTGGAGAGGCTCAAGAAGCATGGCTCTCTCGGATTGTGTAGAGGAGAAACCGTCTTGCTTTTGTTGCATATACTTCCCATCTTTATCTCAGAGATAGTGCAGTTCGTAATGATGAAATAACGAAGCTTGTTCATGGTTACTGGAATTGCTATTCCAGTTGATTCCAATTTCAAGATCCCAGAAATCGTGTACAACTCGTCAACCTGATGAGAGCTAAAAAAGCTCCAGAGGTGGATACACATCGATGATAGGGTTAAAATTTCTAAATGCTCCAAGGTTTCTAATTCCTCCACTATGCCGCGATCCCATGAAAAGCCACTTCCAGCTAAATTCAGTATCATCAAATTATGCAGATTTGATATCCCAGCAATACTCGAAAGCTGATGTATCCGAGATCCAAGTGAATGAGTTTTTTCAACTCTTGTAGACCCTTAGGGAGATGACGGATACCTGTATCTGACAAGTTGAGATACTTCAAAGAAACTAAATCAGATACTCCATCCGGCACTTTGGTGAGATTTCATTAAATGATAGATCCAACACCTGTAGCTTCGGCATGGACTTGAAGAATTCACTCGAGATATTTACCAATTCTCCCCGTTGCATGAGAAAAGTTGTGAGTTCGAGACATTCAGGACTGCCAGCTAGATTGCGAATCTTGTTCTTCATCAGTGACATTCTTCTCACACTGTTCCAATTCTTAACCTTTGGAATTTCATTTAACCCTACACCTGCATGCACAATGAAAGCCTCCTTTTCTCTTCCCAATTCAGATGCAATCCACAATGCCATTTCGCGAACAACATCATGCATACGCACATTCTGTTCCAAGCATCTTCCATCAACAAAGATGCACGAACAAGATCACCAATTATCTCATACCCCTTGTTCTCAGCCCTTTCTATACCTTCACTTCCATTATAATATCTTCGCATATCAAGTAGTCTATCAAATCTCTTTAGAAATCAGATCATCTTCTGGAAATAAAGCGCAATACAGCAAACATGATTTGACATCCTCGCCCTTAAGATTATCGTAGCTATACTTCAAAAGCGGAAGGATCTTATCTTCCATGCCAGAAAACTCTGTAGCGTACGAAGTCAAAACATTTATCGCGTGACGCCATTCTTCCACCGTCTCTTGCATGACATGGTCTCCCCTATGACATTGAGCGCCAATGGAAGGCCACCACATTTTCTAGCAACTTTTTGCAAGCGGGATCTCTGGATCGCTTCCTAATGTTCTTTGTCCAACCTTCTTTTGGAACAAATCAAATGCTTCAATTTCCGCCAAGCATTGGACTTCCATTGGGTCTTCCCCCATGCGATCACATACGTCTTGGCGACGAGTGGTGAAGACTACTTTGCATCGGTTTTCTGGTGCTGGAAATGGGACTCCAATCTCTGTTAAATCCACCTTCTCCCATATGTCATCTAAAAACAGCACAAATCTCTTTTCTTCAAGAAATTGTATAAACGTAAGCTTTTTTTTTCTTGTTTTTTCTCCCACCTCTCCACCAAGACCAATTTCTGAGCGATTTCATCTTGAATCTTCTCTACATGTAACTCTTTAGACACCACAACCCAAATCACAAAATCAAATCCACACCTTTCTTCACTGAACTTATTGTTGATTTGCATGAGAAGCGTTGTTTTCCCAACTCCGCCCATACCATACATACCCATAATACCAACTCCATCTTTCCTTGAGATGTTTCCATGCCTTTCGAGCATTGCTTCTTGACCAACAATTATCGTGGAAGTTGTATTTCCTCTATCACAGCTGTCTCAGTTGAGGTTTGAGCTTGCCCACAAACCTCTCCAAATTCTTTACTCTTAAGTTCCTCAACCTCCTGCAACGTAAAGGAAACCTTTTCCCCGTAACGATAACTCGATATTAAACTGTTAGAGCAAAACCCAAAAGACACAGTCTTGCAAGTTCATCTTCTCTACGGCCAAAAGATCACTGACATTTTTTTGATAGTCGCAACTCTCTTAAGCCATACCTCGGTTGTAGCAAGCTTTTGCCGACCTCTTTCCTCCTCTCTTGTGACCCTTGATTGCAAATCTTCACGCTTAGCCTTGAGATCTTCCATGCTTCGCCAGAGCCTCAGATTCATCTCAAGATTTTGAATATAAATTCCTTTCTCTTGTAGCCATTGAGAGATTGGATTTATACACGGACCTAAGAAAGAGAGGAAATTCCCCATTTTGCAGAAAGAAAGATTATCTGAGATTTTGAGATTTTGAGACTGAGCAAACGAGAGAAGATGCAGAGAATAATTGAAGATAAGACTTTCTTTCACGTCCACAATATCTCGATCGAGTGAGTCCAAATCACTGATTTTTCTTGGAAATTTTGGCTTATTTGATTTCCATAATTCTCACGTTCACACATTTTGGTTGTTGACTTTGGTGGGACATACTAATCACAAAGTCGCTCTCCATGGCAAACCAAAGAAGAAGAAGACTTAATCCTTAATCCTTGTTACAATAAGCTTTTAATGATAAGCGTGATTATTCAGTCAGTATGCCACATTTTGAAGCCTTATAGGGATTCCTAAGCGATTTACACACTGTTTGGGGAATCTCTGTAAATTATGTTTCTCCATGTGAGACCAAATTCAGACGAAAACACGTTCATAACTGGGAAGATCATCACTTGGTTGATAAGCTAACCAAAAGATGATATTTATATATAACCAAGGAGAATAATATATAAGACTATACGGTAAGTTAATTTTATATAAGTGGTGTACCTAAGAATCAACAGAGCATCAAGTTGTAATGAATAAAGCACTAGGTATTATCAGTTAATAGTAAATCTGGCGCTAAGAGTAAAACAAACCATATTTAACAATATGAAAATGCCTTAGAGAAGAACAAGATCCCATTACGCCACACGCTACTCTGCTTCTGCTTCATAGTCATATTCTTCATCATAATAAGGATCTTCAAGTCTTTGTTTCTTGTACTTGGCTTCTTCTTCTTCTTCTTCAAGTCTTCTGGCCTCTCTAAACCCTTGTAGCCTTGCTAGAATGGCAGCAGCATCCTCCTTGCGAGCACGAGATTCATTGCCAGACTCAACTCCTCCAGGGTAATAATCCAACTCCTGCTTGACAAGCAAAAGAGAGATTTAACAAGTGAGAAAGGGAAAACTTGTGGAAAGATATCAAATATGTAGTTAAACAATGACAAGGTTTCTTTTGGGGATAGATGCTTACATCAAGTGCATGTTCTTTACTGAGGATATGCTTGGTGAAACTTTCAAAGCCAAAGAGACCAAGACAGCATCCTGAGCAATAAAATGTAGATTACCCGTTGTTCCACTGCACTCCTTCCTGGCTTCTGTTGGGAAAAAAAAACAAAACAAAAAAGAGCTTAATTTGGTGTGTGTTTGAGAGAGAGCGAGAGAAAGAGGAACACACCTGCACGTAAGCTTGCGAGTAAGCTTTCCCAGAGGAAGCACCCTGCACGCCTAGCGAAGACGGTGGGCTCTAGTTGACGATCATATGGAACTTTTGAGCCAAGAACGTAGTATTTCTCCGATAGATCGGCAATAAACTGACCGAAGATCCTCTGAATGGATATGAGCATGACATTAGCCGGAGGCAGATTATCCATCTCCCACATGTACACACTAGTCATAATCGACTTGTTATCTGTTCAAGACAAAACTAAAACACTCAAGACTCTATAGAAACACACCCAAAAAAAGAGTTGAATCTAAAACACTTACACATGGTGGGGACATGATGAAGGTGGATACCAGTGGAAGAGAGGGCTCGAAGGACGTCAATAGGGACTTGTGAAAGTATGCCAATGGCGGTAATGGTGAGATCACCGTTGTAACCTAAACTCTTCAACGCCCGTCTTATAAACGGACCCACACGACGAGCATCAACGTCGGAGGGAACAGGACACCTACTTATGTCCCACAAGACCCATGTTGCAATATCAGCCTGCCTCTTCGTCGCCGCCCTAAGGTCCATCATCGTTCAACAAGACTTTAAACCCTAAACAAAATTCAATATTCAAAACCAGTTAGGTCTTTAATCTAGATGAGCGGACAGAGAGAACAAACGCGCACCCAGACGACAGACTTAAATAACTTGAACATTATTGAAATTTGAAATTGTTTGCCGAAACTGAAGTTTATCATTTAAATTTTAGTTTTAATTCAAGATATGAATTTAGGTCACGATGAGATATCTTTATTATATAAAAACAAGTACGACACGTGAGATTATTTTTGACACATAGTTTAATTTATAGATTCATTAATAATTAAAGGGAAAAGTAAGCACATAAACCTAGTTAAAAATAATAAATTTACAAAATAATTATCAAGTAATTAATAAATTATTAATTTCCCACTGTCCATTTAGTAATTTTATAATTTGACAAAACCAAAGAAAGAAAAAGTTATTAGTTTATTCTAATCAATTTATTTTTATATCAATTTATCATAAAAGTTAAAAGTTATTAGTTTTATTTTGTAACTCACCAGATTGTGATATATGTCTAATACTAATCCGATGATGACATGTGTCAACACATAAAGATTAATTTAAAATGTATGATGAAAAATAAAAAATTAATAAAGTAATTTTCAAACAACTAAGGGGCATATTGAACTAGTAGTTATTTAGGAGGATTTCATTTTTTTTTTAAATGTTATTGGACTAATAATTTATACAAATTATTTAAAATCCTAATAATTAGAAAATTATGATTTTATTAACAAAATATAACAAAACATTTTGAGAGATTTTGTAGTAAAAATAAATACATCTAAGTGAAATTGCAATGGATATACACCAATACTTTGGTAATTAAATGGGGCTTTCTGACACCTTTTTAGTTGTTCTGTTCATATTAGAAAGTCACCAATACTCTTATAGGATGAGTTTCTTCTTTCGTTGGTGTAGCTGAACATAAAGGAGTGGGATCTACACTGCAGGCGAAATTATCAAGATTTCAATTGAATTTTTTTATTTAACTTTGTTTCCTTTTTAATATGTAAGAAAATATACTAACACACCACACCATGTTAGCAAACATTACATAAACTTGCTAACAAATACTATGTTATGTGAGTAACAAAGAACATAATACATTGTTAACAAATAAAAGTTAATTCGATAACAAATAACACTCATTTTATAGTGTATAAATTTTCAAAAGTACACTTTTTCATAATTTTAATATATATGTTTGGATTCACTAATCATAAACTAGAGTTTAGATTTTGGATTTAGGGTTTAGATTTAAAGATTCAATGTTAGATTTTAGGGTTTTGGGTTTACATTTTTTCCTAAAATTAATATATATGTTTGGGTTCACTAATCATAAACTAGGGTTTAGATTTTGGATTTAGGGTTTAAATTTAAAGGGTTCACTGTTAGATTTTAGGGTTATGGGTTTAGAGTTTAAGGTTTAACAAAGAGCAAATAATACACCACCACATTGCTAACAAGTGTTTTGTTCACTTGCTCACAAATATTTTATAGTTTGCTAAAATTTATATGACACCTAGCTATAACTACTACATATTGTTGTCAACAAGTATTAAGTTATCTTGTCAACAAATATTATATCCTTTTGCTAATAAGTTTGTAGTTACTTTGCTAACAAAAAACTTATTTTGCTAATAAACATTATGTTCTTTGCTAACAAACATCACTTATCTTGTTAACAAAGACTATGTTACCTTATTAACAAAGGTCATGATATATTATTTACATTTTGTTGTTCATAAATTTATTAGCAAGTAATGATTTGAATTTTAGCATGTAATTGTTTAAATGTTAACATATAATGATTTGAATGTTAACATGATTTCAATAGTTTAGTTAATAGGTAATGTTAGCAAGTAATTATTTAGATGTTAGCCGTAATGATTTGAATGTTATACCATTTGTTGGTATTTGTTAACATCGTAATAATTTAAATGTTCTATAACTTTTTATAAAAAATATATTTTCTTCTCTCAAAATCTTATTTAAATAAAAATAAATAAAGAATAAAATTAATAACTATTCTAACCATATATTTAATTGTCAGATTATCTATGTATATTGACTAAATTTACCCTATATCTAAATACCAACTTGAATTTGAATAAATAAATAAATAAATTATGAAACACACCAAAAGTTACAAAATCTAGCCCCACACTTTGCTCTCTATCTGTTTTAACCATTATAAAGTTACAAAATCGAGTCGGATCCGTTAAGCGTCGACCCGACCCGAATCGTCGTTCACTCGAGCGTCTATGGCTCACTCCGAACTAACCTTCCTCAAGAGTGTATGGGATTCAGAGACTTCCCGTTCCCGATCCGATCGGCGAATCCAGAGTTCCGAGGAGGTTCCCGAGTTACGGTGAAGTTCTAGCGTATCTGCAAGATTTCTTGATACCAATGGAAGTGTTACTGTAGATAATAATCGTGTTTTTTTTTTTGGTCCATTGTACAAACACATCTTCCCTCCAACATTAGCACCGTGGCTCTCCTTCGTCGGGATACCATGTAAGGTACAAAAGCTCTATAAATCGGCATAGCTTTTGTTATCTGCTTGTTACGGTTCAGATTTTGAAGTCTATAAACAAATTTGGATTTTTTCAGGTTATACCGTTTCCTATGTTTGAGCTGCAAAGCAAGTGGATTGCGAGTGTTTTGTCGGGTCGGATCATGCTTCCTTCAAAGGAAGATATGTTAATGGAAATCGAAACATTGTATGCAACACTTGAAGGGGAAGGGATTCCTAAGCGATATACTCACTCTTTGGGCATCAACCATGTAAGCAAGAGTCTCTTAATATGTAAATCTAAACGAAAGCAGAACGGAAACAGATTTATATGTAACTTTTGGTGTGTGTTGTTGTTTTTGTCACAGTTTGAGTACAATGATTGGTTAGCTTCACAATATGGGTGCTCAGGAACAGAGGAGTGGAGGAAAGAGATGTTTTTGACGAGTTTCATGAGGAAGATGGAGAATCCAGAGACGTATAGAGATGAATGGGAAGATCATCATCACTTGGTTGCTCGAGCTTATCAAGATTTCTCCATGTATATATCAACCAAAATATGAGATTTCTCCATGTACAGCTCATCATCATGTGAGAGCTTAAAAACTGAACCAAACCTTAAATCATAACCAATTCCTGTGGTTAAAATCTCTAATCTTGCAAAGTCTTGCCATTGTGTTGAGATCTAATGAAACACCAGAACCTCAAAATCTCAACACCTTCAAATATAGTAGACTTGACACCCCAACAGCCCAACGATCCTCGAATGTTTCCACGTGAAACTCCAAATTTAAGTGAAGTAATTTCTTCAAACTCTTGTAGAAGCCGAGAGGAATATTTTAAATGTTTTTGACATGTTGAGATACTGCAAAGAAACAAGCTCTGATATTCCTTGTAGACTCTCCGAGAGATTTCTGTCATACAATACAACATATCCAAAACAAACTAGTTTCCCATATTTTAGACAAACAAGAGAGATCCAGAGAGCATTTTGGTTTGATGAAAGTCAAAAGGAAAAAATATTACACAGCTCATCAAATATTACACAGCAGAAAACTTCAAACGAAACCATTGTGTGAATGTTGATGCAAATAAGAAAATATAACTCACAGAGAGCAACACACACAGAGTGAGTGATAGTGATTTTGAGAGGAGAGAAGAGAGAAAAGCTTTTTGAATCAAAGGCAAATGGCATCTACAACTTCCAAGGAGCTGCATCAGAAGATACCCGTTATACCTTGTGGCTAGAATTTATCCTTAAACTGGACATAACAAAAAAACAGAGGCATTAAAAAAATGGAAGCAGTTCATATCCCGAAGAAAAAAAAAAGTATGAAAACAAACAAGAGAATACGAGAAATTATACCAGTTTGCATGAAGATAAGAAGCGAGTTTTGGTAGCTTCGTCCTCCCATTCCACACCTTCAATCCAACTTTCCTCTTTGTATTCTAAGACGAGTCCATTTTCACCATGCATGCCACTTTGAGAATCCAGTGGAAGCTTTTTCAGATTTGGACATCTGGTTACATAGAATACCTTTAGACATGGAAAGCGTAGAGGACCCAATAGATATTCTTTAGCTTCGGTAGACCTGCAACTCAAGAGAAACCAGCTTTGCAAAAGGAACAATCCCTGATTCTCCACCTTCACAAGCTTTCTCTTTGTTTATTATATCTTCTAGTTGATCTGCATGTGTAACATGAAGATCTTTAAGATTTGAAGCAAACATCAGCAACGTCAGCTCCCTCAGCAATCGCAATTACATATACACTGTGGAGAGGCTCAAGAAGCATGGCTCTCTCGGATTGTGTAGAGGAGAAACCGTCTTGCTTTTGTTGCATATACTTCCCATCTTTATCTCAGAGATAGTGCAGTTCGTAATGATGAAATAACGAAGCTTGTTCATGGTTACTGGAATTGCTATTCCAGTTGATTCCAATTTCTTGATCCCAGATATTCGTGTACAACTCGTCAACCTGATAGAACTAAAAAATAGCTCCAGAGTGGATACACATCGATCTATGGTTAAAATTTCTAAATGCTCCAAGGATTCTAATTCCTCCACTATGCGCGATCCCATGAAAAACCACTAAGCCAAATTCAGTATCATCAAATTATGCAGATTTGATATCCCAGCAATACTCGAAAGCTTTTGTATACCCGAGATCCAAGTGAATGAGTTTTTTCAACTCTTGTAGACCCTTAGGGAGATGACGGATATTAGTCCATGACAAGTTGAGATATTGCAAGGAAACTAAATCAGATACTCCATCCGGCACTTTGGTGAGATTTCATTAAATGATAGATCCAACACCTGTAGCTTCGGCATGGACTTGAAGAATTCACTCGAGATATTTACCAAATCTCCCCTTGCATGAGAAAAGTTGTGAGTTCCATACATTCAGGACTGCCAGCTAGATTCTGAATCTTGTTCTTCATCAGTGACATTCTTCTCACACTGTTCCAATTCTTAACCTTTGGAATTTCATTTAACCCTACACCTGCATGCACAATGAAAGCCTCCTTTCTCTTCCCAATTCAGATGCAATCCACAATGCCATTTCGCGAACAACATCATGCATACGCACCACTTCTCTTCCATCCTCTTCCATCAACAAAGATGCACGAACAAGATCACCAATTATCTCATACCCCTTGTTCTCAGCCCTTTCTATTCCATCACTTCCATTGATAATATCTTCGCATATCATGTAGTCTATAAGTTTCTCTTTAGAAATCAGATAATCTTCTGGGAACAAAGCACAATACAGCAAACATGATTTGACATCCTCGCCCTTAAGATTATCGTAGCTATACTTCAAAAGCGGAAGGATCTTATCTTCCATGCCAGAAAACTCCGTAGCGTACGAACTCAAAACATTTATCGCGTGACGCCATTCTTCCACCCTTCTCTTGCATGACATGGTCTCCCCTATGACATTGAGCGCCAATGGAAGGCCACCACATTTTCTAGCAATGTCTTTTGCAAGTTCAGGGATCCCGATGGCGTCCTAATGTTCTTTGTCCAACCTTCTTTTGGAACAAATCAAATGCTTCATCGTCACCCAAGCATTGACTTCCATTGGGTCTTAACCTCCATGCGATCACATACGTCTTGGCGACGAGTGGTGAAACTACTTTGCATCGGTTTTCTGGTGCTGGAATCGGGACTCCAATCTCTATAAGATCCACCTTCTCCCATATGTCATCTAAAAACAGCACAAATCTCTTTTCCTTCAAGAAATTGTATAAACGTAAGCTTTTTTTATTCTTGTCCTTTTTCTTCCAATCCTCTCCACCAAGACCAATTTTCTGAGCGATCTCATTTTGAATCTTCTCTACATGTAACTCTTTAGACACCACAACCCAAATCACAAAATCAAATCCACACCTTTCTTTCACTGAACTTATTGTAGATTTGCGTGAGAAGCGTTGTTTTCCCAACTCCGCCCATTCCATACATACCCATAGTACCAACTCTATCGTCCTTGAGATGTTTCCATGCATTTTCGAGCATTGTTCCTTGACCAACAATTGTCGGTGGAAGTTGTATTTCCTCTATCACAGCTGTCTCCTCTATCACAGCTGTCTCAGTTGAGGTTTGAGCTTGCCCACAAACCTCTCCAAATTCTTTACTCTTAAGTTCCTCAACCTCCTGCAACGTAAAGGAAACCTTTTCCCCGTAACGATAACTCGATATTAAACTGTTAGAGCAAAACCCAAAAGACACAGTCTTGCAAGTTCATCTTCTCTACGGCCAATAAGATCACTGACATTTTTTTCGATAGTCGCAACTCTCTTAAGCCATACCTCGGTTGTAGCAAGCTTTTGCCGACCTCTTTCCTCCTCTCTTGTGACCCTTGTTGACAATCATCACGCTTAGCCTGAGCTCTTCCATGGTTGTCTCCAGAGCCGTGAGATTCATCTCAAGATTTTGAATATAAATTCCTTTCTCTTGTAGCCATTGAGAGATTGGATTTATACACGGACCTAAGAAAGAGAGGAAATTCCCCATTTTGCAGAAAGAAAGAGTTTCTGAGATTTTGAGATTAACCAAACGAGAGAAGATGCAGAGAATAATTGAAGATAAGACTTTCTTTCACGTCCACAATATTCGATCGAAGTGAGTCCATATCACTGATTTTTCTTGGAAATTTTGGCTTATTAGATTATCCATAATTCTCATGTTCACACATTTTGGTTGTTGACTTTGGTGGGACATACTAATCACAAAGTCGCTCTCCATGGCAAACCAAAAGAAGAAGACTTAATCCTTAATCCTTAAATCCTTGTTACAATAAGCTTTTAATGATAAGCGTGATTATTTAGTCCCCAATCGAATATTTGATCAAAACCATATACAGTATATATGCCACTGTTCCGGGATTGACCAAGTGAGAATCTCTGTAAATTATGTTTCTCCATGTGACGAAAACACGTTCATGTATGGGAAGATCATCACTTGGTTGATGAAGCTTACCAAGACTTGCCTTTGTATACATCAACCAAAAGATGATATTTTGTATAACCAAGGAGAGTAATATATAAGACTATACCGTATCAGTTATCTGGCGCTAAGAGTAAAACAAACCATATTTAACAATATGAAAATGACTTAGAGAAGAACAAGATCCCATTACGCCACACGCTACTCTGCTTCTGCTTCATAGTCATATTCTTCATCATAATAAGGATCTTCAAGTCTTTGTTTCTTGTACTTGGCTTCTTCTTCTTCTTCTTCAAGTCTTCTGGCCTCTCTAAAACCTTGTAGCCTTGCTAGAATGGCAGCAGCATCCTCCTTGCGAGCACGAGATTCATTGCCAGACTCAACTCCCCCAGGGTAATAATCCAACTCCTGCTTGACAAGCAAAAGAAGATTAACAAGTGAGAAAGGGAACTTATGGAAAGATTCAAATATGTAGTTAAACAATGACAAGGTTTCTTTTGGGGATAGATGCTTACATCAAGTGCATGTTCTTTACTGAGGATATGCTTGGTGAAACTTTCAAAGCCTAAGAGACCAAGACAGCATCCTGAGCAATAAAATGTAGATTTACCCGTTGTTCCACTGCACTCCTTCTTGGCCTCTGTTGGAGAAAAAAAAACAAAACAAAAAAGAGCTTAATTTGGTGTTTGTGTGTGTGTGTGTGAGAGAGAGAGAGAGGAGCGAGAGTAAAGAGGAAGCACCCTGCACGCCTAGCGAAGACGGTGGGCTCTAGTTGACGATCATATGGAACTTTTGAGCCAAGAACGTAGTATTTCTCCGATAGATCGGCAATAAACTGACCGAAGATCCTCTGAAGGGATATGAGCATGACATTAGCCGGAGGCGGATTATCCGACTTCCACATGTACACACTAGTCATAATAGATTTGTTATCTGTTCCAGAAAAAACAATACTTAAGACTCTGTAAAAACACACCAAAAGCAAGGAAAAAAGGTAGAGAGTTGAATGTAATACACTTACCATGGTGGGGACGTGATGAAGGTTGATCCTAGTGGAAGAGAGGGCTCGAAGGACGTCAATAGGGACTTGTGAAAGTATGCCAACGGCGGTGATGGTGAGATCACCGTTGTAACCTAAACTCTTCAACGCCCGTCTTATAAACGGACCCACACGACGAGCATCAACGTCGGAGGGAACAGGACACCTGCTTAGGTCCCACAAGACCCATGTTGCAATATCAGCTTGCCTCTTCGTCGCCGCCTTAAGGTCCACCATCGTTCACCCTAATGAACGTAAACTAACGTAGGGTTTTATCAGAAGTAAAACATGTTACACATGTACGTAGAATAATATAACAACTCATTCGCATGATGAAGAATATAAAAGAGAATAAACCTAAGGAACTAAACCGATTGGCACATCAATTGGATTTTTTGCTGAAACACATCAATTGGATTTTTTGCTTTATTTAAGTAAAAAATTACCTTTTTAGGGTTATTTGGTGTTAGGAAAGAGATCCTTATCATTAAAGCTTAAATATCTGATACACCAACAAATTAAAAAAAAATTTGCTCTGTTCTAATTTATACATTAGGAAAGTGTCTAATTGCTCCATTACACTGATATTATCTTATTTGTCCATACATTAAACCCGGTTTAGTTCTGGTTTTGATAAAAAATTTGATCCGTCGGTCGAAGCAACTTTGGTGGGCCATTTTAATTACCGAATCTCGTAAAAACCCATATGGCATCTTCGTCATCAATCAAATCACGCCACGTGGCTGTAATCGGAGCTGGAGCCGCCGGACTAGTGCGGCGAGAGAGCTTCGACGAGAAGGTCACTCCGTCGTCGTCTTCGAGAGGCAGAAACAGGTCGGAGGAACCTGGATCTACACCGATCATGTCGAGTCGATCCGTTAAGCGTCGACCCGACCCGAATCGTCGTTCACTCGAGCGTCTATGGCTCTCTCCGAACTAACCTTCCTCGAGAATGTATGGGATTCAGAGACTTCCCATTCGCGATCCGATCCGGCGAATCCAGAGATCCGAGAAGGTTTCCGAGTCACGGTGAAGTTCTAGCGTATCTGCAGGATTTCGCTAAGGAGTTTGGCATCGAGGAGCTGATCCGGTTCGAGACGACGGTCGTGCGCGTTTCTCCGGCGGCGGAAAGCGACGGCGGAGAAGGAATCGGAAAATGGAGAATCGAATCTACAGAGAAGGAGAAGAAAATTCATCGCGATGAGATTTACGATGCAGTTGTTGTTTGTAATGGACATTACATTGAACCTCGTCTCGCTGAAATTCCTGGTAAATTCTCAACATCTCGATTCTCCATAGTAAAGCTTGCTCCATCAAAAACTTCGGATTTGAAAAATAGAAACTTCATAAAAACATTGAATCATTTTAGGGATAAGTTGTTGGCCAGGGAAGGAGATGCATAGCCATAACTATCGTCTTCCTTCACCATTCAAAGATCAGGTACTCAATTTTTTTTCAAAATGTGAGATATGATTCATTTTCATGGTGGAGAAGAGAATTGTGATACATTTGAATCATAGGTTGTTGTGGTTATTGGAAGCTCTGCGAGTGCTGTTGACATAAGCAGAGACATTTCCGGATTTGCCAAAGAGGTTCATGTGGCTTCTTGGTCAAATCCAGCTGATACTTTTATCAAGCAGAACGGTTACACTAACATATGGATGCATTCAATGGTGAGTTTAGCTGTAATTCGTTGGTCAGATCGAGAGATGAACAACAGTTCTTGAAACGTTTTCTTGAATCTTTATGCAGATTGAGCGTGTCCATGAGGATGGTTCTGTGGTTTTTCAGAACGGGAAAACGGTTTTGGGTGATGTTATAATGCATTGCACTGGTTATAAGTATCATTTTCCGTTTCTTGAAACCAATGGAGAAGTTACTGTTGATGATAACTGTGTTGGACCATTGTACAAACATGTCTTTCCTCCAGCATTAGCACCGTCGCTCTCCTTCGTCGGGATACCATATAGGGTACAAAAGCTCTAAATCATTCCTCTCAAGTTTTTTTTTCTTATCAAATTTGGATCTTTCAGGTTTTACCATTTCCTATGTTTGAGCTGCAAAGCAAGTGGATCTCGGGTATTTTGTCGGGTCGGGAAAGGAAGATATGATGGTGGAAACCAAAACCATGAAGGCCACATTTGAAGGCTTGGGGATTCCTAAGCGATTTACGCACTGTTTGGGGATTGACCAAGTAAGAAGAATCTCTGTAACTTATGTTTCTCCTTGTGCGACCAAATCCAAACGAAAACATGTTAAATGTTGTTTACTTTTGTGTTGTTTGTTTGACAGTTTGAGTACTATGATTGGTTGGGTTCACAAATTGGGTGCTCAGGAACAGAGGAGTGGAGGAAAGAGATGAGTTTGCCTATTTTCTTGAGGAAGATGAAACATCCGGAGAGTTATAGAGACGAATGGGAAGATCATCACTTGGTTGATCAAGCTTACCAAGATTTCTCTTTGTACATATCAACCAAAAGATGAGATTTTGTAAAATCAAATTATATCTTTGCTTTGTATCAGAATGCCTCTATTGATCAATGTACAAACTATATTCATAAGATTGCAAATGTTCAAATGCTTTGGAATTGCACAGGGCTTATGAAAAGGAACAGTCACTGAATCTTCACTTATACTAACTTTCAGACTTGGAACAAACATAAGCCACGTCAAGTCATTTAACTCCCATATGTACACTTTCTTGGCTGCAACAGATCCAAAACAACTAGCTTCGACAAGTCCCGTAACTCTTAGAACAAAACCAACAAAGAGACAACCTTTGACTATCAACAGTTTTTAGTACTAAGTAGATCATTAACTTGGCTTTCGATAGTATCAACTCTAGTCTAGTCAACCATACCACACAATTTATCAAACACAAGGGAAGCGAAGTAATTAAGAGATACAACCTTTTAATTTTCTTAATCGATCATCCTCCCAATATAATCAAATCAATGGGAGAACAATCATACTCCGGTCTCACGGTCTGTAATCTGTTTAATCAACCATGTAAGAAACATAATGTTGCTCCTGTGAGATCCAAATCTGAAACAAAAGCAAAACGGAAACAGATTTTATATGTAATTTTTGGTGTGTGTACTTTTTTACAGTTTGAGTACAATGATTGGTTGGCTTCACAATATGGGTGCTCAGGGACAGAGGAGTGGAGGAAAGAGATGTTTTTGACGAGTTTCATGAGCAAGATGGATGGGAAGATCATCATCACTTGGTTGCTCAAGCTTATCAACATTTCTCTATGTATATTGTAAATAAAGATGAAAGCTTGTATTTCGTGTATAGCTCATCATCCTGTGAGAGCTTAAGAACTGAACCAAACCTGAATGATATATAACCAATTCCTATGGTTAATATCTCTAATCTTGCCAAGACTTGTAAGTTGTAACTCCTCCACCGTGTTGAGATGTAATGAAACACCAGAACCTCACAATCTCAACACCTTCAAATATAGTAGACTTGACACCCCAAACGGCCCAACGATACTCGAAAAGTTTCCACGTGAAACTCCAAGTAACTTCTTCAACTCTTGTAGAAACCAAGAGGTATATTTGTTTTTGACATGTTGAGATACTGCAAAGAAACCAGCTCTGATATTCCTTGTAGATAGATTCTCCGAGAGATTTCTGACATACAACATATCCAAAACAAACTAGTTTCCCATATTTTAGACAAACAAGAGAGATCCATAGAGCAATTTGGTTTGATTAAAGTCAACGGAAAATATTACACAGCAGAAAACTTCAAACGGAACCATTGTATGAATGTTGATGCATATAAGAAAATATAACTCACAGAGAGCAACACACACAGAGTGATAGTGATTTAGAGAGAAGAGAAGAGAGAAAAGCTTTTTGGAACAAAGGCAAATGGCATCTACAACTTCCAAGGAGCTGCATCAGGAGATACCTGTTATATGTTCATCCTTATACTGTAACAAAAACAAAAAGACAGAGGCATTAAAAAAATGTACTCAGCTCATACACCCGAAGAAAAAGTCATATGAAAACAAATAAGAGAATACGAAAAACTATACCAATTTGGAAGAAGATAAGAAGCGAGATTTGGTAGCTTCGTCCTCCCATTCCACACCTTCAATCCAACTTTCTTCTCCGTATTCTAAGACGAGTCCATTTTCACCATGCATGGCACTTTGAGAATCCAGTGGAAGCTTTTTCAGATTTGGACAATCTCTTACATTGAATTTTCTTAGACATGGAAAGCGTAGAGGACTCCAGTAGATATTCTTTAGCTTCGGTAGATCCGCCAACTGGAGAGAAACCAGCTTTGCAAAAGGAACAATCCCTGATTCTCCAACTTCACAAGCTTTCTCTTTGTTTATTATATCTTCTAGTTGATCTGCACCGAGAACATCAAGTTCTTTAAGATTTGAAGCAAACATCAGCAACGTGTCAGCTCCCTCAGGCATCTGCAATTTATATATATACACTCTGGAGAGGCTCAAGAAGCATGGCTCTTTCGGATTGTGTAGAGGAGAAACCGTCTTGCTTTTGTTGCATATACTTCCCATCTTTATCTCAGAGATAGTGGAGCGCTCAATGCTGAAATAACGGAGCTTGTTCATGGTTACTGGAATTGCTATTCCACTTGATTCCATTTCTAATCTTCAGAAATCGTGTACAACTCGTCAACCTGAGAGAACTAAAAAATAGCTCCAAAGGTGGTACACATGGATGTCTAGGGTTAAAATTTCTAAATGCTCCAAGGTTTCTAATTCCTCCACTATGCCGCGATCCCATGAAAAGCCACTTCCAGCTAAATTTCAGTATCATCAAATTATGCAGATTTGATATCCCAGCAATACTCGAAAGTTATGTGTAGAACCGAGATCCAAGTGGATGAGTTTTTTCAACTCTTGTAGACCCTTAGGGAGATGACGTATACCTGTATCTGACAAGTTGAGATACTTGCAAGGAAACTAAATCAGATACTCCATCCGGCACTTTGGTGAGATTTATTAAATGATAGATCCAACACCTGTAGCTTCGGCATGGACTTGAAGAATTCACTCGAGATATTTCCAATTTCCCGTTGCATGAGAAAAGTTTGTGAGTTCGAGACATTCAGGACTGCCAGCAAGATTGCGAATCTTATTCTTCATCAGTGACATCTTCTCACACTGTTCCAATTCTTAACCTTTGGAATTTCACTTAACCCTACACCTGCATGCACAATGAAAGCCTCCTTTTCTCTTCCCAATTCAGATGCAATCCACAATGCCATTTCACGAACAACATCATGCATACGCACACGTTCACATACTGTCCATCCTCTTCCATCAACAAAGATGCACGAACAAGATCACCAATAATCTCATACCCCTTGTATTTGGCCCTCTCTATACCTTCACTTCCATCTATAATACCTTCGCCTATCAAGTAGTCTATCAAATTCTTTTTAGAAATCAGATCATCTTCTGGAAATAAAGCACAATACAGCAAACATGATTTGACATCCTCGCCCTTAAGATTATCGTAGCTATACTTCAAAAGCGGAAGGATCTTATCTTCCATGCCAGAAAACTCTGTAGCGTACGAACTCAAAACATTTATCGCGTGACGCCATTCTTCCACCCTTCTCTTGCATGACATGGTCTCCCCTATGACACTGAGCGCCAATGGAAGGCCACCACATCTTTTAGCAACCTCTTTTGCAAGCTCATGGATCTCTGGATCGCTTCCTAATATTCTTTCTCCAACCTTCTTTTGGAACAAATCAAATGCTTCATTTTCCGCCAAACATTGGACTTCCATTTGTTCTTCAACCCTCATGTGCGCACATACTTCTTGGGAACGAGTGGTGAAGACTACTTTGCATCGGTTTTGTGGTGCTGGAAATGGGACTCCAATCTCTATTAGATCCACCTTCTCCCATAGGTCATCTAGAAACAACAAAAATCTCTTTTTCTTCAAGAAATTGTATAAATCTTTGGTCTTTTGGCTCTTCTCTTTTTTCTCCCATTTCTCTCCACCAAGACCAATTTTCCCAGCGACTTCATCTTGAATGTTCTCAACCCGTAACTCTTTAGAAACTACNCTTAGCCTTGAGCTCTTCCATGGATGTCACCAGAGCCGTGAGATTCACCTCTAGATTATGTATATAACCTACTTTCTGGTCAATCCAGTTAGAGATTTTATTTATACACGGATCACAAGGTATCGAGAAAGGGTTGCCCATTTTGCTGAAAGGAAAAGAGATCTTAGATTTGAGAAATTTTATTGATCTAAGCAAAACCAGAGGAGATGCAAAAAATAATTGAAGTCTGAAGATAAGTCTTTCGTTCTCCTCCACAATCCTCCGACCGAGTGGGTCCAAATCACTGTTTTTTTTTGGAAATTGTGCTTATATGATTTCCATAATTCTCATATTCACACATTTGGGTGTTGACTTTGGTGGGACATACTACTAATCACGGAACAAGAAGAACACTTTGAGTATCTTCGTTGATAATTAATTGAACCTCTCATCTCCCTGACATTCCTGATAATTAACTTCCTTTGATAATTAATTCCATAATAACGGTTGTTGACATTGGTGGGACATAATGATATAGTATCCATTGTTGACTGAAGAAGAAAACTTGAGACTCACGTAAAACCCAAATCCGACCAGAGCTTTGACAGAAACATCCATCATGATCATGTAAACCCGGATCCGTTAAGTGTAGACCTGATCCGACCCGGCATCTTCGAATACAGAGATCTGATGAGGTTTCCGACGTAGGGATAACTTCTTGGCCAAGGAAGGAGATGCAAAGTCATAATAATTAGCGTATCCTTGAAACATTCAAAGATCAGTGTCGCATTTATCAAATATCATAAATAACATTACACTTTAAAGCATTCCTTCTCCTGCAATTCATAGAGATTTTGATTCTGCGATAGATCCAAAACACCTAGTATCAACAAAGATTATGCACATGCTCAGCAACTCTTGAGTGATGCATCAAAATGTTATTTTCCACAGACAATTTAGGTATTAATCATATAAGACAACTTGAGAGACACGCCCACTTCTCTCAATGCCACAACACGCCCACATGTTGCATGAGAAAAGCTGTGAGTTGGAGACATTCAGGACTGCCAGTGAGATTGCGAATCTTATTCTTCATCAGTGACATCTTTCTCACAACATTCCAATTTTTAACCTTTGGAATTTCACTTAACCCAACACTTGCATGCACAATGAAAGCCTCCTTTTCTCTTCCCAGTTCAGATGCAATCCACGAGGCCATTTCGCGAACAACATCATGCATATGCACTTGTTCTGTTCCAACTTCTTCCATCAACAAGGATGCACGGACAAGATCACCAATTATCTCATACCCCTTGTTCTCAGCCCTCTCTATACCCTCACTTCCATCTATAATACCTTCGCCTATCAAGTAGTCTATCAATTCTTCTTTATCAATATTATAATCTTCTGGAACAAAGCGCAATACAACAAACATGATTTAACATCCTCACCCTTAAGGTCATCGTAGCTATACTTCAAAAGGAGAAGGATCTTATCTTCCATACCAGAAAACTCTATAGCGTACGAAGTCAAAACATCTATCGCGTGACGCCATTCTTGTATCGTCCTCTTGCATGACATGGTCTCCCCTATGACATCGAGTGCCAATGGTAGGCCACAACATTTTTTAGCAACTATTCTTGCAAGTTCAGGGATCTCCGGATGGCTTCCTAATGTTCTTTGTCCAACCTTCTTTTGGAACAAATCAAATGCTTCATTGTCCGCTAAACATTGGACTTCCATTGGGTCTTCAACCCCCATCCGATCACATACTTCTTGGGAACGAGTGGTGAAGGCAACTTTGCATCCGTTTTGTGTTGTTGGAAACGGGACTCCAATCTCTGTTAAATCCACCTTCTCCCATATGTCATCTAAAAACAACACAAATCTCTTTTTCTTCAAGAAATTGTACAAACGTACGCCTTTTTTATTCTTATCTTTTATCTCCCACAAAAATCCATCAAGACCAACTTTCCCAGCAATTTCATCTTGAATCTTCTCTACATGTAACTCTTTAGACACCACGACCCATATCACAAAATCAAATCCACTACTTACGTCGCTGAACTTATTGTTGATCTGTGTGAGAAGTGTGGTCTTCCCTACTCCGCCCATACCATACAAACCCATCATTCCAACTCCATCTTCCATGAGATGTTTCCATGCCTTTTGAAGCATCGTTTCTTGACCAACAATTGTGGGTTGAAGAGGTCTTTCTTCCATCCGAGGTGTTTGAGCTTCCTCAACAATCACTTCAAATTCTCTACTATGGAGTGTCTCAACCTCCTTTAACGTCAAGAAAACTTTTTTCCCGTAACCATAACTCGATCTTAAACTCTTAGAGCAAAACCCACAAAGACACAGCTTTTGAAGCTCATCATCTCTAGCACTAAGAAGATCACTGACTCTTTTTTCAATACTTGCAACTCTATTAAGCCATACCTCGATTTCGGCAAGCCTTTGCTGACCTCTATCCTCCCCTCTTGTGACCCTTTTTGACAGATCATCACGCTTAGCCTTGAGCTCTTCCATGGATGTCACCAGAGCCGTGAGATTCTTCTCCAGGTTATGTATACAAGCTACTTTCTCGTCAAGCCAGTTAGAAATTTTATTGATACAAGGATCACAAGGTATGGAGAAAGAGATGCAGAAAGGAAGAGAGATCTTAGATTTGAGAATTTTACTGATCTGATCAAAACTAGAGAAGAAGCAGAGAATAATCGAAGAGAAGACTTTCTTTCTCGTCCACAATTCTTCGATCGAGTGAGTCCAAATCATTGAATTTTCTTGGAAATTGTACTTATTTGATTTCCATCACACACTTGGTTGTACACTTTGGTGGGACATACTAATCTCAATTCACAAAGTCTCTCCATGGCTAACCGCAGGAAAAGTACACTTGAGAATCTCGTTGATAATTAATTTCCAAAATAACGGTTGTTGACTTTGGTGGGACATCTGCAAAGATGGGCATCCCCTTGTTGTTGACTGAAGAAGAAAACTTGAGACTCACGTAAAACCCAAATCCCACCACGCTTCTAATATCACCCGCCGGAGCGTCGACGGGAACGTCACAGTCACTGGGTCGTCGTCTTCAAGAGCCTGTCCAGAAACAGAAACCTCAATCATGTCAACCCGGATCCGTTAAGCGTTGACCCGGCTCGCCGTCGAATACATCTGAGGAGGTTTCCGACTCAGGATAACTTCTTGGCCACGCAAGGATATGCATAGTTATAAATAGTCATAAGTAGTGTATAATTTTAGCTCCTACGTAGCACTTACCCTAATTAAAAATAAATAAATAAATGAATTCATGATCTCTTGATTACCTCTCTTTTTTTGTGATTGACAAGTAAAATATATTCAGGAAGAGATTGCAAATAACATTACAGTTAAAAGCATCATTCTCCTACGATTCAGAGAGATTTTGATTCTGCGATAGATCCTAAACAGCTAGCATCAACAAAGAATATACACATCTTAACAACCTTCTTGAGTAATGCATCAAAATTTTATTTTCCACTGACAATTTAGGTATTTGATCATATAAGATAACTCGAGAGACACGCCCACTTCTCTCTGGCTTTGATTATCAACAGTTAACAATAAATTTGCCACTAAGAGTATAACTAACCATATATAACCATATGAAAATGCCTTAGAGATCGAAGAACAACAGCATATATGCCACGTGCTACTCTTCTTCTTCATGATATTGATAAAGACAAATCTCTAAAATGAACTATTTTTACGTTTTTGTCCTAGAAATAGACTCAAAATTAATTTTTCTGGGAAAGAGATATTGGTTAAGCTTAACTATCCGATACACCAACAGATTAAAAACAAACGTGCTCTGTTCAAGTTTATACGGTTTAGTTCCGGTTTGGATAGAAACGTTAATAATCTTAGGTGGGCCACTTTGACGACAGAATCGCCATGGCTTGAGTGAGTGACCCAAGAATCATTCATAATCTCTTAAAAAATGGCACCATCAATCAAATCACGCCACGTGGCCGTAATCAGAGCTGGAGCCGCCGGACTAGTGGCAGCGAGAGAGCTTCGACGGGAAGGTCACTCTGTCGTCGTCTTCGAGAGGCAGAAAGGTGGGAGGAACTTGGATCTACACCGATAATGTCGAGTCGGATCCGTTAAGCGTCGATCCGACCTGAATCGTCGTTCACTCGAGCGTCTATGGCTCTCTCCGAACTAACCTTCATCGAGAATGTATGGGATTCAGAGACTTCCCATTCATGGTCCGATCCGGCGAATCCAGAGTTCCGAGGAGGTTCCCGAGTCACGGTGAAGTTCTAGCGTATCTGCAAGATTTCTTGATACCAATGGAAGTGTTACTGTAGATGATAACTGTGTTAGTCCATTGTACAAACACATCTTCCCTCCACTATTAGCGCCGTGGCTCTCCTTCGCCGGGATACCATGTAAGGTACAAAAGCTCTAAATCGGCATAGCTTTGGTTATCTGCTTGTTACGGTTCGGATTTTGAAGTCTATAAACAAGTTTGGATTTTTTTGCAGGTTATCTCCTCTACCGTTTCCTATGTTTGAGCTGCAAAGCAAGTGGATTGCGGGTGTTTTGTCTCGTCGGATCATGCTTCCTTCAAAGGAAGATATGTTAATGGAAATCGAAACCTTGTATGCAAGACTTGAAGGGGAAGGGGTTCCTAAGCGATATACTCACTCTTTGGGCATCAACCATGTAAGCAAGAGTCTCTTAACATGTTGAAAGCCAACACGGACACAGATTTATTTGTAATTTTTGGTGTGTGTTGTTCTTTTTGTCACAGTTTGAGTACAATGATTGGTTGGCTTCAGAATATGGGTGCTCAGGAACAGAGGAATATAGGAAAGAGATGTTCTTGATGAGTTTCATGAGGAAGATGGAGAATCCGGAGACGTATAGAGATGAATGGGAAGATCATCATCACTTGGTTGCTCAAGCTAACCATGATTTCTCTTTGTATATTGTAAAATAAAGATGAAAGCTTCTATTTCGTGTACAGCTCATCATCCTATGAGAGCTTGAGAACTGAACCAAACCTGAATCATATAACCTAATTCCTATGGTTAATATCTCTAATCTTGCCAAGACTTGTAACTCCTCCACCGTGTTGAGATCTAATGAAACACCAGAACCTCTGCAGTCTCAATACTTTCAAATCAAGTAGACTTGATACGCTAACCTCCCAATATAATCAAATCAATTTTCCAGCTTACTTGATAGACTCCCTCCCCCATCTGACTATTATATTAGATCATTATAGTAAACATAATTCATTGATCATCGTGTTGGCAAATATATAATATTATATGGGACAAGAATAAAAAGGTGCTTGCATATCCTGCATAAGACCAGCTAACTGGTTTGTGTACGCACTGAAACAATGTATATGGCATATGAAAACATTACAATCGACTTCAAACGTAACCATTGTATAAATGTTGATAAAAAATAAGACAGAAAAAAGCACACAGACAGCAACACACAATGAGTGGTAGAGATTTGAGAGAGTCACAGAGAGCAACACACAAGTGAGTGATAGTGATTTTGAGAGAGAAGAGAAGAGAGAAAAGCTTTTTGATAAAGGCAAATGGCATCTTCAACTTCCCGTCGCATCAGAAGATACCTCGTTATATTGTCCAAGAAACACTCTAACTGTACATAAACAAAAAGACAGAGGCATTAAAAAATGGAAGCAGTTCATATCCCGAAGAAAAAAATCATATGAAAACAAATAAGAAATACGAGAAATTATACCAATTTTGCATGAAGATAAGAAGCGAGTTTTGGTAGCTTCGTCCTCCCATTCCACACCTTCAATCCAACTTTCCTCTTTGTATTAAGACGAGTCCATTTTCACCATGCATGCCACTTTGAGAATCCAGTGGAAGCTTTTTCAGATTTGGACATTCGATTACATGAATATCTTTAGACATGGAAAGCGTAGAGGATTCCAATAGATATTCTTTAGCTTCGGTAGACTCCGCAATAAGAGAAACCAGCTTTGCAAAAGGAACAATCCCTGATTCTTCACCTTCACAAGCTTTCTCTTTGTTTATTATATCTTCTAGTTGATCTGCATCTAACTTCAAGTTCTTTAAGATTTGAAGCAAACATCAGCAACGTCAGCTCCCTCAGGCTCGCAATTTATTATATACACTTGGAGAGGCTCAAGAAGCATGGCTCTCTCGGATTGTGTAGAGGAGAAACCGTCTTGCTTTTGTTGCATATACTTCCCATCTTTATCTCAGAGATAGTGCAGTTCGTAATGATGAAATAACGAAGCTTGTTCATGGTTACTGGAATTGCTATTCCAGTTGATTCCAATTTCAAGATCCCAGAAATCGTGTACAACTCGTCAACCTGAGAGAACTAAAAAATAGCTCCAGATGTGGTGGACAATCGATTTCTATGGTTAAAATTTCTAAATGCTCCAAGGTTTCTAATTCCTCCACTATGCCGCGATCCCATGAAAAACCACTTCCAGCTAAATTCAGTATCATCAAATTATGCAGATTTGATATCCCAGCAATACTCGAAAGCTGAAGTGTATACCCGAGATCCAAGTGAATGAGTTTTTTCAACTCTTGTAGACCCTTAGGGAGATGACGGATACCTGTATCTGACAAGTTGAGATACTTCAAAGAAACTAAATCAGATACTCCATCCGGCACTTTGGTGAGATGTTCATTAAATGATAGATCCAACACCTGTAGCTTCGGCATGGACTTGAAGAATTCACTCGAGATATTTACCAATTCTCCCCGTTGCATGAGAAAAGTTGTGAGTTCGAGACATTCAGGACTGCCAGCTAGATTGCGAATCTTGTTCTTCATCAGTGACATCCTTCTCACACTGTTCCAATTCTTAACCTTTGGAATTTCATTTAACCCTACACCTGCATGCACAATGAAAGCCTCCTTTTCTCTTCCCAATTCAGATGCAATCCACAATGCCATTTCGCGAACAACATCATGCATACGCACACATTCTGTTCCATATCAGCATCTTCCATCAACAAAGATGCACGAACAAGATCACCAATTATCTCATACCCCTTGTTCTCAGCCCTTTCTATACCTTCACTTCCATCTATAATATCTTCGCATATCAAGTAGTCTATCAAATACTTTTTAGAAATCAGATCATCTTCTGGAAATAAAGCGCAATACAGCAAACATGATTTGACATCCTCGCCCTTAAGATTATCGTAGCTATACTTCAAAAGTGGAAGGATCTTATCTTCCATGCCAGAAAACTCTGTAGCGTACGAAGTCAAAACATTTATCGCGTGACGCCATTCTTCCACCGTCTTCTTGCATGACATGGTCTCCCCTATGACATTGAGCGCCAGTGGAAGGCCACCACATTTTCTAGCAACGTCTTTTGCAAGCTTGGGGATCTCTGGATCGCTGTCTAGTGTTTTTTGTCCAACCTTCTTTTGGAACAAATCAAATGCTTCAATTTCCGCCAAACATTGGACTTCCAATTGTTCTTCAGCCATCATCTCCGAACATACACCTTGTTTACGAGTGGTGAAGACTACTTTGCATCGGTTTTCTGGTGCTGGAAATGGGACTCCAATCTCTGTTAAATCCACCTTCTCCCATATGTCATCTAAAAACAACACAAATCTCTTTTTCTTCAAGAAATTGTATAAATCAATGGTCTTTTGGCTCTTCTTTTTTTTCTCCCACTTCTCTCCATCAAGACCAACTTTCTGAGCGATTTCATCTTGAATCTTCTCTACATGTAACTCTTTAGACACCACAACCCAAATCACAAAATCAAATCCACACCTTTCTTCACTGAACTTATTGTTGATTTGCATGAGAAGCGTTGTTTTCCCAACTCCGCCCATACCATACATACCCATAATACCAACTCCATCTTTCCTTGAGATGTTTCCATGCCTTATCGAGCATTGCTTCTTGACCAACAATTATCCGTGGAACTTGTATTTCCTCTATCACAGCTGTGTCAGCTTTATTAACTACTTGATCAGTAACATTTTGGAAAACTCTATTTTCGAGTTGCACAACATCTATCAACGACAAGAAAACCTTTTTCCCGTAACGGTAACTGGATCTTAAACTCTTAGAGCAAAACCCACAAAGACACAACCTTTGAAGTTGAACATCTCTAGCATCAAGAAGAGCATCAACTTTTTGATCCAAAGACTCAACTTTCTTAAGCCATACCTGGAATTCTTCCAGCCTTTGTCCACCTTTATCCTCCTCTCTTGTGGCCTTTCGTAATAAATCATTCCGCTTAGCCTTGAGCTTAACCATGCTGTTCTCCAGAGTGGCGAGATTCTTCTCAAGATCGTGAATATAACCAACTTTCTTGTCTAGCCATTGAGAGATTTTATCCATCCACTCATCACAGGATATCGAGCAAGTGATTAAATTCCCCATTTTACAGAAAGGGAGAAATCTGAAATCTGAAATTTGCTGATATGAGCAAACCAGAGACAATGCAGAGAATAATTGAAGATAAGACTTTCTTTCACGTCCACAATTCTCGACCAAGTGAGTCCAAATCACTGATTTTTCTTGGAAATGTTTGCTTATTTGATATCCATAATTCTCACGTTCACACATTTTGGTTGTTGACTTTGGTGGGACATACTAATCACAAAGTCGCTCTCCATGGCAAACCAAAGACGAAGAAGACTTAATATTTAATCCTTAATCCTTGTTACAATAAGCTTTTAATGATAAGCGTGATTATTCAGTCCCCAATCGAATATTTGATCAAAACCATTTACAGTATGCCACATTTGAAGCCTTATAGGAATTCATAAGCGATTTACACACTGTTTGGGGATTGACCAAGTGAGAATCTCTGTAAATTATGTTTCTCCATGTGAGACCAAATTCAAACGAAAACACGTTCATGTATGGGAAGATCATCACTTGGTTGATGAAGCTAACCAAGACTTGCCTTTGTATATATCAACCAAAAGATGATATAATATCTAAGACTATACGGTAAGTTAATTCTCTATAAAGGTGGTGTACCTCTGAATCAACAATGAATAAGCACTAGGTATTATCAGTTAAAAATCTGGCGCTAAGAGTAAAACAAACCATATTTAACAATATGAAAATGCCTTAGAGAAGAACAAGATCCCATTACGCCACACGCTACTCTGCTTCTGCTTCATAGTCATATTCTTCATCATAATAAGGATCTTCAAGTCTTTCTTTTTTGTACTTGGCTTCTTCTTCTTCTTCTTCAAGTCTTCTGGCCTCTCTAAAACCTTGTAGCCTTACTAGAATGGCAGCAGCATCCTCCTTGCGAGCACGAGATTCATTGCCAGCCTCAACTCCTCCAGGGTAATAATCCAACTCCTGCTTGACAAGCAAAAGAGAAAATTAACAAGTGAGAATGGGAAAGAATCAAATATGTAGTTAGACAATGACAAGGTTTCTTTTGGGGATAGATGCTTACTTCAAGTGCATGTTCTTTACTGAGGATATGCTTGGTGAAACTTTCAAAGCCTAAGAGACCAAGACAGCATCCTGAGCAATAAAATGTAGTTTTACCCGTTGTTCCACTGCACTCCTTCTTGGCCTCTGTTGGAGAAAAAAAACAAAACAAAAAAGAGCTTAATTTGGTGTGTGTTTGAGAGAGAGCGAGAGAGAGAGAGAGAGGAACACACCTGCACGTAAGCTCGCGAGTAAGCTTTCCCAGAGGAAGCACCCTGCACGCCTAGCGAAGACGGTGGGCTCTAGTTGACGATCATATGGAACTTTTGAGCCAAGAACATAGTATTTCTCCGATAGATCGGCAATAAACTGACCGAAGATCCTCTGAAGGGATATGAGCATGACATTAGCCGGAGGCGAATTATCCGACTTCCACATGTACACACTAGTCATAATAGATTTGTTATCTGTTCCAGAAAAAACAATACTTAAGACTCTGTAAAAACACACCAAAAGCAAGGAAAAAAGGTAAAGAGAGTTGAATCTAAAACACTTACACATGGTGGGGTCGTGGGGACGTGATGAAGGTTGATCCCAGTGGAAGAGAGGGCTCGAAGGACGTCAATAGGGACTTGTGATAGTATGCCAATGGCGGTGATGGTGAGATTACCGTTGTAACCTAAACTCTTCAATGCCCGTCTTATAAACGGACCCACACGACGAGCATCAACGTCGGAGGGAACAGGACACCTGCTTAGGTCCCACAAGACCCATGTTGCAAATTTGCAATATCAGCTTGCCTCTTCGTCGCCGCCTTAAGGTCCATCATCGTTCACCCTAATGAACGTAAACTAACGTAGGGTTTTATCAGAAGTAAAACATGTTACACATGTACGTAGAATAATATAACAACTCATTCGCATGATGAAGAAATATAAGGAACTAAACCGATTGGCACAAGGCTGAAAGCTGAAAGCTGAAAGGTGTTATTTGGGTTATTTGGTGTTAGGAAAGAGATCCTTATCATTAAAGCTTAAATATCTGATACACCAACAAATTAAAAAAAAATTTGCTCTGTTCTAATTTATACATTAGGAAAGTGTCTAATTGCTCCATTACACTGATATTATCTTATTTGTCCATACATTAAACCCGGTTTAGTTCTGGTTTTGATAAAAAATTTGATCCGTCGGTCGAAGCAACTTTGGTGGGCCATTTTAATTACCGAATCTCGTAAAAACCCATATGGCATCTTCGTCATCAATCAAATCACGCCACGTGGCTGTAATCGGAGCTGGAGCCGCCGGACTAGTGGCGGCGAGAGAGCTTCGACGAGAAGGTCACTCCGTCGTCGTTTTCGAGAGGCAGAAACAGGTCGGAGGAACCTGGATCTACACCGATCACGTCGAGTCCGATCAGTTAAGCGTCGACCCGACCCGAATCGTCGTTCACTCGAGCGTGTATGGCTCTCTCCGAACTAACCTTCCTCGAGAATGTATGGGATTCAGAGACTTCCCATTCGCGATCCGATCCGAATCAATTGATCCGAGAAGGTTTCCGAGTCACCCTGAAGTTCTAGCGTATCTGCAGGATTTCGCTAAGGAGTTTGGCATCGAGAAGCTGATCCGGTTCGAGACGACGGTCGTGCGCGTTTCTCCGGCGGCGGAAAGCGACGGCGGAGAAGGAATCGGAAAATGGAGAATCGAATCTACAGAGAAGGAGAAGAAAATTCATCGCGATGAGATTTACGATGCAGTTGTTGTTTGTAATGGACATTACATTGAACCTCGTCTCGCTGAAATTCCTGGTAAATTCTCAACATCTCGATTCTCCATAGTAAAGCTTGCTCCATCGAAAAACTTAGGATCGGATTTGAAAAATAGAAACTTCATAAAAACATTGAATCATTTTAGGGATAAGTTGTTGGCCAGGGAAGGAGATGCATAGCCATAACTATCGTCTTCCTTCACCATTCAAAGATCAGGTACTCAATTTTATTTTCAAAATTTCAGATATAATGATTCATTTTCATGGTGGAGAAGAGAATTGTGATACATTTTGAATCATAGGTTGTTGTGGTTATTGGAAGCTCTGCGAGTGCTGTTGACATAAGCAGAGACATTTCCGGGTTTGCCAAAGAGGTTCATGTGGCTTCTTGGTCAAATCCAGCTGATACTTTTATCAAGCAGAACGGTTACACTAACATATGGATGCATTCAATGGTGAGTTTCGCTACTACTTACCGTTGGTTCGATCGAGAGATGAACAACAGTTCTTGAAACGTTTTCTTGAATCTTTATGCAGATTGAGCGTGTCCATGAGGATGGTTCTGCGGTTTTTCAGAACGGGAAAACGGTTTTGGGTGATGTTATAATGCATTGCACTGGTTATAAGTATCATTTTCCGTTTCTTGAAACCAATGGAGAAGTTACTGTTGATGATAACTGTGTTGGACCATTGTACAAACATGTCTTTCCTCCAGCATTAGCACCGTCGCTCTCCTTCGTCGGGATACCATATAGGGTACAAAAGCTCTATATCATTCCTCTCAAGTTTTTTTTTCTTATCAAATTTGGATCTTTCAGGTTTTACCATTTCCTATGTTTGAGCTGCAAAGCAAGTGGATCTCGGGTATTTTGTCGGGTCGGGAAACCAAAACCATGAAGGCCACATTTGAAGGCTTGGGGATTCCTAAGCGATTTACGCACTGTTTGGGGATTGACCAAGTAAGAAGAGTCTCTGTAACTTATGTTTCTCCTTGTGCGACCAAATCCAAACGAAAACATGTTAAATGTTGTTTACTTTTGTGTTGTTTGTTTGACAGTTTGAGTACTATGATTGGTTGGGTTCACAAATTGGGTGCTCAGGAACAGAGGAGTGGAGGAAAGAGATGAGTTTGCCTATTTTCTTGAGGAAGATGAAACATCCGGAGAGTTATAGAGACGAATGGGAAGATCATCACTTGGTTGATCAAGCTTACCAAGATTTCTCTTTGTACATATCAACCAAAAGATGAGATTTTGTAAAATCAAATTATATCTTTGCTTTGTATCAGAATGCCTCTATTGATCAATGTACAAACTATATTCATAAGATTGCAAATGTTCAAATGCTTTGGAATTGAACACAGCTTCCATTAGACCATATGATAAACTAACCCTTTACTGATGAATGTAAGAAGAGTGAGTTTTCTTCAAACAGAGAAAAGGTAATGGACTCCAGTAGATGTTCTTCAGCTCCGGTACACCAGATAAGCCTAAAAACTTTACTTATACAAGCTTTCTCTTTGCTTATTATGTCTTCTAGTTGTGAAACTTGGATTAAACATCAGAGCACAATGATCACATGATATCGATAAAGAGATACAACTTCCCATATTTTAGATAAACAAGTGACATCCAGAGAGCAATCTGGTTTGATTAAAACCGAAGATATTATACAACTGATCAAATATTACACAGGGGAAAGTATTCCAATCAACTTCAAACGTACCCATTGTATAAATATTGCTGCAAATAAGAAAAGAAAAAAAAAAAACATAGAGAGAGAACCAAGTGGTGGTAGTCTAGTGATTCCCACTTGAGGCTGAGTTGCGAGTCTAGGCCAAACATAAAAGCAATTCTCATTTGACCACACGGATATGTGTCATTGCTTTTGGCCCATTTGAATTCCATAGAGAGAGTTCAATTTCCAACGAGCTGCATCAGAATATACCCGTTATACCTTGTGGCTGCCTTCCATACTCCCACTGTAAACATAAAAAAAAATAAAAAATTCATAAACCCGAAGAGAAAATCATATGAAAACAAAAAAAGAGAATACGAGATAATATACCAGTTTGCATGAAGATAAGAAGCGAGTTTTGGTAGCTTCGTCCTCCCATTCTACACCTTCAATCCAACTTTTCTCATTGCATTTTAAGATGAGTCCGTTTTCACCATGCATGCCACTTTGAGAATGGAGTGGAAGTTTTTTCAGATTTGGACAATCTCCTACATCTAATACCTTTAGACATGGAAAGCGTAGAGGACACCAGTAGATATTCTTTAGCTCTGGTAGACGCTCCAACTGAAGAGAAACCAGATTTGCAAAAGGAACAATCCCTGATTCTCCACCCTCACAAGCTTTCTCTTTATTTATTATATCTTCTAGTTGATTTGCTTTGCCAACATGAAGTTTTTTAAGATTTGAAGCAAACATCAGAAACGTCAGCTCCATCAGGCATCTGCAACCAAGTATAAACACTTGGGAGAGGCTCAAGAAACATGGCTCTCTCGGATTGTCTATAGGAGAAAGAGAAACCGTCTTGCTTTTGTTGCATATACTTCCCATCGTTATCTCAGAGATAGTGCAGTCCATAATGTTGAAATGACGGAGCTTGTTCATAGTTACTGGAAAAGCTATTCTAGTTGATTCCAAAATACAGATACTCAGAAATCGTGTACAGCTCATCAACCTATGAGAGCTTAAAAATAGCTCTAAATGTGGAGTTAGACCATCGAACCCTACAGTTAAAATTTCTAAATGCTCCAAGGTTTCTAATTCCTCCACTATGCCATGTTCCAATGAAAAACCACTGAAAGCTAAATTCAATATCATCAAATTACGCAGATTTGATATCCCTGCAATACTCGACAGATTACTTGTACTCAAAAGATCCAAGTGAATGAGTTTTTTCAACTCTTGTAAACCCATAGGGAGATGACGTATACCAGTACGTGACAAGTTGAGATATTGCAAGGAAACTAGTTCTGATATTCCATCTGGCACACTGGTGAGATGTTTATTTTGTGATAGATCCAACACAACTAGCTTCGGCATGGACTTGAAGAATTCACTCGAGATATTTTCCAAAAAAATGTTGTTTTGCAAGAGCAAAGTTGTGAGTTCGGGACATTCAGGACTGCCATCGAGTTTGCGAATCTTATTCTTCATCAGTGACATCTTTCTCACAACATTCCAATTTTTAACCTTTGGAATTTCACTTAACCCAACACTTGCATGCACAATGAAAGCCTCCTTTTCTCTTCCCAGTTCAGATGCAATCCACGAGGCCATTTCGCGAACAACATCATGCATATGCACTTGTTCTGTTCCAACTTCTTCCATCAACAAGGATGCACGGACAAGATCACCAATTATCTCATACCCCTTGTTCTCAGCCCTCTCTATACCCTCACTTCCATCTATAATACCTTCGCCTATCAAGTAGTCTATCAATTCTTCTTTATCAATATTATAATCTTCTGGAAACAAAGCGCAATACAACAAACATGATTTAACATCCTCACCCTTAAGGTCATCGTAGCTATACTTCAAAAGGAGAAGGATCTTATCTTCCATACCAGAAAACTCTATAGCGTACGAAGTCAAAACATCTATCGCGTGACGCCATTCTTGTATCGTCCTCTTGCATGACATGGTCTCCCCTATGACATCGAGTGCCAATGGTAGGCCACAACATTTTTTAGCAACTATTCTTGCAAGTTCAGGGATCTCCGGATGGCTTCCTAATGTTCTTTGTCCAACCTTCTTTTGGAACAAATCAAATGCTTCATTGTCCGCTAAACATTGGACTTCCATTGGGTCTTCAACCCCCATCCGATCACATACTTCTTGGGAACGAGTGGTGAAGGCAACTTTGCATCCGTTTTGTGTTGTTGGAAACGGGACTCCAATCTCTGTTAAATCCACCTTCTCCCATATGTCATCTAAAAACAACACAAATCTCTTTTTCTTCAAGAAATTGTACAAACGTACGCCTTTTTTATTCTTATCTTTTATCTCCCACAAAAATCCATCAAGACCAACTTTCCCAGCAATTTCATCTTGAATCTTCTCTACATGTAACTCTTTAGACACCACGACCCATATCACAAAATCAAATCCACTACTTACGTCGCTGAACTTATTGTTGATCTGTGTGAGAAGTGTGGTCTTCCCTACTCCGCCCATACCATACAAACCCATCATTCCAACTCCATCTTCCATGAGATGTTTCCATGCCTTTTGAAGCATCGTTTCTTGACCAACAATTGTGGGTTGAAGAGGTCTTTCTTCCATCCGAGGTGTTTGAGCTTCCTCAACAATCACTTCAAATTCTCTACTATGGAGTGTCTCAACCTCCTTTAACGTCAAGAAAACTTTTTTCCCGTAACCATAACTCGATCTTAAACTCTTAGAGCAAAACCCACAAAGACACAGCTTTTGAAGCTCATCATCTCTAGCACTAAGAAGATCACTGACTCTTTTTTCAATACTTGCAACTCTATTAAGCCATACCTCGATTTCGGCAAGCCTTTGCTGACCTCTATCCTCCCCTCTTGTGACCCTTTTTGACAGATCATCACGCTTAGCCTTGAGCTCTTCCATGGATGTCACCAGAGCCGTGAGATTCTTCTCCAGGTTATGTATACAAGCTACTTTCTCGTCAAGCCAGTTAGAAATTTTATTGATACAAGGATCACAAGGTATGGAGAAAGAGATGCAGAAAGGAAGAGAGATCTTAGATTTGAGAATTTTACTGATCTGATCAAAACTAGAGAAGAAGCAGAGAATAATCGAAGAGAAGACTTTCTTTCTCGTCCACAATTCTTCGATCGAGTGAGTCCAAATCATTGAATTTTCTTGGAAATTGTACTTATTTGATTTCCATCACACACTTGGTTGTACACTTTGGTGGGACATACTAATCTCAATTCACAAAGTCTCTCCATGGCTAACCGCAGGAAAAGTACACTTGAGAATCTCGTTGATAATTAATTTCCAAAATAACGGTTGTTGACTTTGGTGGGACATCTGCAAAGATGGGCATCCCCTTGTTGTTGACTGAAGAAGAAAACTTGAGACTCACGTAAAACCCAAATCCCACCACGCTTCTAATATCACCCGCCGGAGCGTCGACGGGAACGTCACAGTCACTGGGTCGTCGTCTTCAAGAGCCTGTCCAGAAACAGAAACCTCAATCATGTCAACCCGGATCCGTTAAGCGTTGACCCGGCTCGCCGTCGAATACATCTGAGGAGGTTTCCGACTCAGGATAACTTCTTGGCCACGCAAGGATATGCATAGTTATAAATAGTCATAAGTAGTGTATAATTTTAGCTCCTACGTAGCACTTACCCTAATTAAAAATAAATAAATAAATGAATTCATGATCTCTTGATTACCTCTCTTTTTTTGTGATTGACAAGTAAAATATATTCAGGAAGAGATTGCAAATAACATTACAGTTAAAAGCATCATTCTCCTACGATTCAGAGAGATTTTGATTCTGCGATAGATCCTAAACAGCTAGCATCAACAAAGAATATACACATCTTAACAACCTTCTTGAGTAATGCATCAAAATTTTATTTTCCACTGACAATTTAGGTATTTGATCATATAAGATAACTCGAGAGACACGCCCACTTCTCTCTGGCTTTGATTATCAACAGTTAACAATAAATTTGCCACTAAGAGTATAACTAACCATATATAACCATATGAAAATGCCTTAGAGATCGAAGAACAACAGCATATATGCCACGTGCTACTCTTCTTCTTCATGATATTGATAAAGACAAATCTCTAAAATGAACTATTTTTACGTTTTTGTCCTAGAAATAGACTCAAAATTAATTTTTCTGGGAAAGAGATATTGGTTAAGCTTAACTATCCGATACACCAACAGATTAAAAACAAACGTGCTCTGTTCAAGTTTATACGGTTTAGTTCCGGTTTGGATAGAAACGTTAATAATCTTAGGTGGGCCACTTTGACGACAGAATCGCCATGGCTTGAGTGAGTGACCCAAGAATCATTCATAATCTCTTAAAAAATGGCACCATCAATCAAATCACGCCACGTGGCCGTAATCAGAGCTGGAGCCGCCGGACTAGTGGCAGCGAGAGAGCTTCGACGGGAAGGTCACTCTGTCGTCGTCTTCGAGAGGCAGAAAGGTGGGAGGAACTTGGATCTACACCGATAATGTCGAGTCGGATCCGTTAAGCGTCGATCCGACCTGAATCGTCGTTCACTCGAGCGTCTATGGCTCTCTCCGAACTAACCTTCATCGAGAATGTATGGGATTCAGAGACTTCCCATTCATGGTCCGATCCGGCGAATCCAGAGTTCCGAGGAGGTTCCCGAGTCACGGTGAAGTTCTAGCGTATCTGCAAGATTTCTTGATACCAATGGAAGTGTTACTGTAGATGATAACTGTGTTAGTCCATTGTACAAACACATCTTCCCTCCACTATTAGCGCCGTGGCTCTCCTTCGCCGGGATACCATGTAAGGTACAAAAGCTCTAAATCGGCATAGCTTTGGTTATCTGCTTGTTACGGTTCGGATTTTGAAGTCTATAAACAAGTTTGGATTTTTTTGCAGGTTATCTCCTCTACCGTTTCCTATGTTTGAGCTGCAAAGCAAGTGGATTGCGGGTGTTTTGTCTCGTCGGATCATGCTTCCTTCAAAGGAAGATATGTTAATGGAAATCGAAACCTTGTATGCAAGACTTGAAGGGGAAGGGGTTCCTAAGCGATATACTCACTCTTTGGGCATCAACCATGTAAGCAAGAGTCTCTTAACATGTTGAAAGCCAACACGGACACAGATTTATTTGTAATTTTTGGTGTGTGTTGTTCTTTTTGTCACAGTTTGAGTACAATGATTGGTTGGCTTCAGAATATGGGTGCTCAGGAACAGAGGAATATAGGAAAGAGATGTTCTTGATGAGTTTCATGAGGAAGATGGAGAATCCGGAGACGTATAGAGATGAATGGGAAGATCATCATCACTTGGTTGCTCAAGCTAACCATGATTTCTCTTTGTATATTGTAAAATAAAGATGAAAGCTTCTATTTCGTGTACAGCTCATCATCCTATGAGAGCTTGAGAACTGAACCAAACCTGAATCATATAACCTAATTCCTATGGTTAATATCTCTAATCTTGCCAAGACTTGTAACTCCTCCACCGTGTTGAGATCTAATGAAACACCAGAACCTCTGCAGTCTCAATACTTTCAAATCAAGTAGACTTGATACGCTAACCTCCCAATATAATCAAATCAATTTTCCAGCTTACTTGATAGACTCCCTCCCCCATCTGACTATTATATTAGATCATTATAGTAAACATAATTCATTGATCATCGTGTTGGCAAATATATAATATTATATGGGACAAGAATAAAAAGGTGCTTGCATATCCTGCATAAGACCAGCTAACTGGTTTGTGTACGCACTGAAACAATGTATATGGCATATGAAAACATTACAATCGACTTCAAACGTAACCATTGTATAAATGTTGATAAAAAATAAGACAGAAAAAAGCACACAGACAGCAACACACAATGAGTGGTAGAGATTTGAGAGAGTGAGAGACAGAGAAGAGAAGAGAAAGAAAAGCTTCTCTTTTGATTAAAGGCAAATGACATCTTCAACTTCCTCGTCGCTTGAATCCTCCTCCTCGCTATATTTCCAAGAAACACTCTGAACATGTACCATAAACAAAAAGACAGATGCATAAGAAAATGGAAGCGGTTCATATCCCGAAGAAAAAAAATCATATGAAAAGAAATAAGATAATACGAGAAATTATACCAATTTTCATGAAGATAAGAAGCGAGTTTTTGTAGCTTCGTCCTCCCATTCAACACCTTCAATCCAACTTTCCTCTCTGTATCCTAAGACGAGTCTATTTTCACCATGTATGCCACTTTGAGAATCCAATGGAAGCTTTTTCAGATTTGGACATTCGATTACATTGAATATCTTTAGACATGGAAAGCGTAGAGGATTCCAATAGATATTCTTTAGCTTGGGTAGACTCCGCAAATAAAGAGAAACCAGCTTTGCAAAAGGAACAATCCCTGATTCTTCAACTTCACAAGCTTTCTCTTTGTTTATTATATCTTCTAGTTGATCTGAATACCTAACTTCAAGTTCTTTAAGATTTGAAGCAAACATCAGCAACGTCAGCTCCCTCAGGCCTCGGCATTTATTTATATACACTTTGGAGAGGCTCAAGAAGCATGGCTCGCTCGGATTGTGTATAGGAGAAACCATATTGCTTTTGTTGCATATACTTCCCATCTTTATCTCAGGGATAGTGCAGTTCGTAATGATGAAATAACGAAGCTTGTTCATGGTCACTGGAATTGCTATTCCAGTTGATTCCAATTTCAAGATCTCCAGAAATCGTGTACAACTCGTCAACCTGAGAGAACTAAAAAATAGCTCCAGATGTGGTGGACAATGGATTTCTAGGGTTAAAATTTCTAAATGCTCCAAGGTTTCTAATTCCTCCACTATGCCGCGATCCCATGAAAAGCCACTTCCAGCTAATTTCAGGATCATCAAATTATGCAGATTTGATATCCCAGCAATACTCGAAAGCTGAAGTGTATGCTCGAGATTCAAGTGAATGAGTTTTTTCAACTCTTGTAGACCCTTAGGGAGATGACGGATACCTGTATCTGACAAGTTGAGATACTTCAAAGAAACTAAATCAGATACTCCATCCGGCACTTTGGTGAGATGTTCATTAAATGATAGATCCAACACCTGTAGCTTCGGCATGGACTTAAAGAATTTACTCGAGATATTTACCAATTCTCCCCGTTGCATGAGAAAAGCTGTGAGTTCGAGACATTCAGGACTGCCAGCTAGATTGCGAATCTTGTTCTTCATCAGTGACATTCTTCTCACACTGTTCCAATTCTTAACCTTTGGAATTTTATTTAACCCTACACCTGCATGCACAATGAAAGCCTCCTTTTCTCTTCCCAATTCAGATGCAATCCACAATGCCATTTCACGAACAACATCATGCATACGCACACATTCTGTTCCATATTGTTCAGCATCTTCCATCAACAAAGATGCACGAACAAGATCACCAATAATCTCATACCCCTTGTATCTGGCCCTCTCTATACCTTCACTTCCATCTATAATACTTCGCCTATCAAGTAGTCTATCAAATACTTTTTAGAAATCAGATCATCTTCTGGAAATAAAGCGCAATACAGCAAACATGATTTGACATCCTCGCCCTTAAGATTATCGTAGCTATACTTCAAAAGTGGAAGGATCTTATCTTCCATGCCAGAAAACTCTGTAGCGTACGAAGTCAAAACATTTATAGCGTGACGCCATTCTTCCACCGTCTTCTTGCATGACATGGTCTCCCCTATGACATTGAGCGCCAATGGAAGGCCACCACATTTTCTAGCAACGTCTTTTGCAAGCTTGGGGATCTCTGGATCGCTGTCCTAATGTTTTTTGTCCAACCTTCTTTTGGAACAAATCAAATGCTTCAATTTCCGCCAAACATTGGACTTCCAATTGTTCTTCAGCCATCATCTCCGAACATACACCTTGTTTACGAGTGGTGAAGACTACTTTGCATCGGTTTTCTGGTCCTGGAAATGGGACTCCAATCTCTGTTAAATCCACCTTCTCCCATATGTCATCTAAAAACAACACAAATCTCTTTTTCTTCAAGAAATTGTATAAATCAATGGTCTTTTGGCTCTTCTTTTTTTTCTCCCACTTCTCTCCATCAAGACCAACTTTCTGAGCGATTTCATCTTGAATCTTCTCTACATGTAACTCTTTAGACACCACAACCCAAATCACAAAATCAAATCCACACCTTTCTTCACTGAACTTATTGTTGATTTGCATGAGAAGCGTTGTTTTCCCAACTCCGCCCATACCATACATACCCATAATACCAACTCCATCTTTCATGAGATGTTTCCATGCCTTATCGAGCATTGCTTCTTGACCAACAATTATCCGTGGAACTTGTATTTCCTCTATCACAGCTGTGTCAGCTTTATTAACTACTTGATCAGTAACATTTTGGAAAACTCTATTTTCGAGTTCCAACATCTATCAACGACAAGAAAACCTTTTTCCCGTAACGGTAACTGGATCTTAAACTCTTAGAGCAAAACCCACAAAGACACAACCTTTGAAGTTGAACATCTCTAGCATCAAGAAGAGCATCAACTTTTTGATCCAAAGACTCAACTTTCTTAAGCCATACCTGGAATTCTTCCAGCCTTTGTCCACCTTTATCCTCCTCTCTTGTGGCCTTTCGTAATAAATCATTCCGCTTAGCCTTGAGCTTAACCATGCTGTTCTCCAGAGTGGCGAGATTCTTCTCAAGATCGTGAATATAACCAACTTTCTTGTCTAGCCATTGAGAGATTTTATCCATCCACTCATCACAGGATATCGAGCAAGTGATTAAATTCCCCATTTTACAGAAAGGGAGAAATCTGAAATCTGAAATTTGCTGATATGAGCAAACCAGAGACAATGCAGAGAATAATTGAAGATAAGACTTTCTTTCACGTCCACAATTCTCGACCAAGTGAGTCCAAATCACTGATTTTTCTTGGAAATGTTTGCTTATTTGATATCCATAATTCTCACGTTCACACATTTTGGTTGTTGACTTTGGTGGGACATACTAATCACAAAGTCGCTCTCCATGGCAAACCAAAGACGAAGAAGACTTAATATTTAATCCTTAATCCTTGTTACAATAAGCTTTTAATGATAAGCGTGATTATTCAGTCCCCAATCGAATATTTGATCAAAACCATTTACAGTATGCCACATTTGAAGCCTTATAGGAATTCATAAGCGATTTACACACTGTTTGGGGATTGACCAAGTGAGAATCTCTGTAAATTATGTTTCTCCATGTGAGACCAAATTCAAACGAAAACACGTTCATGTATGGGAAGATCATCACTTGGTTGATGAAGCTAACCAAGACTTGCCTTTGTATATATCAACCAAAAGATGATATAATATCTAAGACTATACGGTAAGTTAATTCTCTATAAAGGTGGTGTACCTCTGAATCAACAATGAATAAGCACTAGGTATTATCAGTTAAAAATCTGGCGCTAAGAGTAAAACAAACCATATTTAACAATATGAAAATGCCTTAGAGAAGAACAAGATCCCATTACGCCACACGCTACTCTGCTTCTGCTTCATAGTCATATTCTTCATCATAATAAGGATCTTCAAGTCTTTCTTTTTTGTACTTGGCTTCTTCTTCTTCTTCTTCAAGTCTTCTGGCCTCTCTAAAACCTTGTAGCCTTACTAGAATGGCAGCAGCATCCTCCTTGCGAGCACGAGATTCATTGCCAGCCTCAACTCCTCCAGGGTAATAATCCAACTCCTGCTTGACAAGCAAAAGAGAAAATTAACAAGTGAGAATGGGAAAGAATCAAATATGTAGTTAGACAATGACAAGGTTTCTTTTGGGGATAGATGCTTACTTCAAGTGCATGTTCTTTACTGAGGATATGCTTGGTGAAACTTTCAAAGCCTAAGAGACCAAGACAGCATCCTGAGCAATAAAATGTAGTTTTACCCGTTGTTCCACTGCACTCCTTCTTGGCCTCTGTTGGAGAAAAAAAACAAAACAAAAAAGAGCTTAATTTGGTGTGTGTTTGAGAGAGAGCGAGAGAGAGAGAGAGAGGAACACACCTGCACGTAAGCTCGCGAGTAAGCTTTCCCAGAGGAAGCACCCTGCACGCCTAGCGAAGACGGTGGGCTCTAGTTGACGATCATATGGAACTTTTGAGCCAAGAACATAGTATTTCTCCGATAGATCGGCAATAAACTGACCGAAGATCCTCTGAAGGGATATGAGCATGACATTAGCCGGAGGCGAATTATCCGACTTCCACATGTACACACTAGTCATAATAGATTTGTTATCTGTTCCAGAAAAAACAATACTTAAGACTCTGTAAAAACACACCAAAAGCAAGGAAAAAAGGTAAAGAGAGTTGAATCTAAAACACTTACACATGGTGGGGTCGTGGGGACGTGATGAAGGTTGATCCCAGTGGAAGAGAGGGCTCGAAGGACGTCAATAGGGACTTGTGATAGTATGCCAATGGCGGTGATGGTGAGATTACCGTTGTAACCTAAACTCTTCAATGCCCGTCTTATAAACGGACCCACACGACGAGCATCAACGTCGGAGGGAACAGGACACCTGCTTAGGTCCCACAAGACCCATGTTGCAAATTTGCAATATCAGCTTGCCTCTTCGTCGCCGCCTTAAGGTCCATCATCGTTCACCCTAATGAACGTAAACTAACGTAGGGTTTTATCAGAAGTAAAACATGTTACACATGTACGTAGAATAATATAACAACTCATTCGCATGATGAAGAAATATAAGGAACTAAACCGATTGGCACAAGGCTGAAAGCTGAAAGCTGAAAGGTGTTATTTGGGTTATTTGGTGTTAGGAAAGAGATCCTTATCATTAAAGCTTAAATATCTGATACACCAACAAATTAAAAAAAAATTTGCTCTGTTCTAATTTATACATTAGGAAAGTGTCTAATTGCTCCATTACACTGATATTATCTTATTTGTCCATACATTAAACCCGGTTTAGTTCTGGTTTTGATAAAAAATTTGATCCGTCGGTCGAAGCAACTTTGGTGGGCCATTTTAATTACCGAATCTCGTAAAAACCCATATGGCATCTTCGTCATCAATCAAATCACGCCACGTGGCTGTAATCGGAGCTGGAGCCGCCGGACTAGTGGCGGCGAGAGAGCTTCGACGAGAAGGTCACTCCGTCGTCGTTTTCGAGAGGCAGAAACAGGTCGGAGGAACCTGGATCTACACCGATCACGTCGAGTCCGATCAGTTAAGCGTCGACCCGACCCGAATCGTCGTTCACTCGAGCGTGTATGGCTCTCTCCGAACTAACCTTCCTCGAGAATGTATGGGATTCAGAGACTTCCCATTCGCGATCCGATCCGAATCAATTGATCCGAGAAGGTTTCCGAGTCACCCTGAAGTTCTAGCGTATCTGCAGGATTTCGCTAAGGAGTTTGGCATCGAGAAGCTGATCCGGTTCGAGACGACGGTCGTGCGCGTTTCTCCGGCGGCGGAAAGCGACGGCGGAGAAGGAATCGGAAAATGGAGAATCGAATCTACAGAGAAGGAGAAGAAAATTCATCGCGATGAGATTTACGATGCAGTTGTTGTTTGTAATGGACATTACATTGAACCTCGTCTCGCTGAAATTCCTGGTAAATTCTCAACATCTCGATTCTCCATAGTAAAGCTTGCTCCATCGAAAAACTTAGGATCGGATTTGAAAAATAGAAACTTCATAAAAACATTGAATCATTTTAGGGATAAGTTGTTGGCCAGGGAAGGAGATGCATAGCCATAACTATCGTCTTCCTTCACCATTCAAAGATCAGGTACTCAATTTTATTTTCAAAATTTCAGATATAATGATTCATTTTCATGGTGGAGAAGAGAATTGTGATACATTTTGAATCATAGGTTGTTGTGGTTATTGGAAGCTCTGCGAGTGCTGTTGACATAAGCAGAGACATTTCCGGGTTTGCCAAAGAGGTTCATGTGGCTTCTTGGTCAAATCCAGCTGATACTTTTATCAAGCAGAACGGTTACACTAACATATGGATGCATTCAATGGTGA